TTCTGTATGGCTATGGTGCGATATTCAACTTTCTTGGAATACTAGGAACTGTTATATATAAAGGTATTCGCATTTTATGTTAACATTTTTGGCATGGAAAAAAATCCTTCAAACTTTACAATGCATCGCTGAGAGATTATCATGGTATTAACAGGTCCTGGCAGCTTTGACATCCTACAAGGTCACTCTAGGGCGACCATGTTTTTGATACTGAATAACGCAGCACAAGGGATTCTTTCCTCCTTTTTCTTCAAATATGCAGGTAAATACTAAACTAAGTTTTGTTAGATTCATTTGATTAATGAATTAGGTTGCTTGAGTCTAGATGCTTTTCTAACATATCTAGAGATTGTGGGCTATATATTATATACACAAGGTTATTGTTCTTATAGCAAAATAGTTATCATGGATATTTAATTGTCTTCGTCTTTGAATGCTTTCAGATACAATCTTGAAGAAATATTCATCCACAGTTGCCACAATATTTACGGGCATAGCATCTGCAGCACTCTTCGGACATGTTATAACCATGAACTTTCTTCTTGGAATTTCTATCGTTTTCATTTCAATGCACCAGGTAAACCCATATGAACCGTATCCCTGGTGAATCAATTTAACTTAACAATCTCTTTTCTGTCGAATTTATGTATTTTGTCTCATTTATGCATAGTTCTTTTCACCCCTTGCCAAAGTGAAAGACGAGCAACAACAGAACGGGGGCCTAGAATTAAGCAAAGCAAAGGATACTCACAGGTTAGTGTCAATATACATACTTCTTTTTTCAGTTACTAGTGTTTATCAAATGTTGTTCAGACATCTTTAATAAGCAGAAAGTCATGTAACAGATACATTCGCCGTACACCATTTAACTTCTTTTCTTTCTCTGTTATTTCCTTCAGGGCTAATGACTCGTTCATCAACATGGCCGCAGGAGCAAATGAAGAGGTGAAGAATAAATTTGCGAAGCCAGTTCTTGTACTTGTTTTAACTTAAGTCGACATTAATGTTTATTGTCTTTTCGTCTCTGTGTCTGTTCAGGCTAGTCACCGCGGTGAATCAGACGACAGAACGCCGCTTCTTCCTAGATGAAAAGTTTCTTAAAAGTAGGTATTCTCTCCCAACTTCATCATATTAACTTTCCCAAAAATCATCCATCTTCTAGATCGATTGTTACCAGTTATCTGATTTCGCACTTGTCACTGCAGGAATTTTGTTCCGAAGAATTCTTTTGGCGGAGAAAATTCTAGAAATTGGGGGTTTTCCAGTCGTATACTAGCAGGATACAGTGAAGAAGGAAACCTGATGAGACCAACTCTTAAATTCTCTCAAGAGTCGGATTAAGTTCGTTGCAGAACCTCACATGTCTAAAGCTGTATTATTTTAAGATAGAGTGAACAAACTTGGTTAGTGATATACAGTATTGTATTCTTTGGTTTTTGCAGAAAACATCAGGTCACTTTTTTGCTCTTGTTATACAATTACTCTCAGGGTGGGGTTCCTTATACTCTATATATATAAAGCATATTTTTCAGCCACTGGGTTAAGTTAGACCGGCCCGGTTTGAGAAGCATTTCTTAATCCAGTTTTTGTTAATGATTCATTTCTCTGAAATCTGGTGAAGCAGTAACAAGCATTGCAAGACCTGTGTGATGAATATTCCTTTTAAATTGTATCTGGAAACTATATATTTAGTATTCTGTTATGAAAATAAATTGTATAAAAACGAAAAGAAAGTACTATCAAACCAGATTATAAGAGTAAACAGACCACCAAACAATTGAAAAAACGCACCAAATCACTACTCATCACCTTGAAATAAACATATACATCCCAACTGAAAAAAAAAGCCCCAACAAAAAGAATATTTAAAACACAAATTATATGATACGGCAACACATGCAACAGAAACCAATCTCCCATAGTTATTATAAATATTATTACACAGAAGAATCAAGTTTCCTGAGATGGAACAGCTGCTGCTGTTGATGACCTCAACAATGGTTGTAGAGCTTTTACCACAATGCTCATGTTCGGCCTAAACTCTGATTCGTATTGCACACACAACGCCGCTACTGCCGCAAGCTGGAGCACAAGAAAAAAGAGAGAAAAACATTTCATCATTAGCTTCAAAGAAGTGGTTTCACAGGTTAGAGATGAAACAAACGTAAACAAGATGAAGATTTTATACCTTTGCAACCGCTTTAGGAGGATATTCTCCTTTGAGTTTAGGATCAACACATTGCTTCACTTTGTCTTCACTCAGCCTTGGAGTGGCCTGAAGTTATATGGCAGAGAAATTTTATGCCAAGAACAATAGCAAGATTAAAATAAAGAAGGGGGTTTTAGTAAAGCTTACCCAAGTGACAAGACTTTGTTGGCCACGGGGCATTGTATGATCAACTGGTTTTCTACCAGTCAAGAGCTCCAAAAGCACTACACCAAAACTATAAACATCACTCTTCTGTGTCAGTTGACCAGTCATCGCATACCTGCAACAGCAAAACTCAAACAAGTTACAATCTTTACTTTCTCAATAACAGAGTGATGAATTGTTGTTTCAGAAGGATTCATTACTCTGGTGCGTGGTAACCAAAGGTTCCCAAAACTCTGGTGGAATGAAGACGAGCAGCCATATCAGGAGATTGATTCGATAGATTAAAATCAGCAATCTTGGCTTTGAAGTCTTCAAAGAGAAGCACATTGCTAGATCGAATATCCCTGTGTATTACCCCAGGCTGAGCTTTCTCATGTAAATACTCAAGCCCTCGAGCCGCATCAACTGCGATTCTAACTCGTTGGATCCAATCAAGCGTTGGACCTGGTTGAGCTCCTTGGACTCCTTTCCTCCCGTGTAAGATGTCGTGTAAAGATCCCATTGTGGCAAACTCATACGCAAGAATACGGAAACTCCCTTCAACGCAGTAACCGAAGAGCTCAACAAAATTATCATGCTTCAGCTTCGAAACCCTCGAGACCTGAGTCAAGAACTCAACATTTGATTCAGGCTCAGCTGAATTATCAAGCTTCTTCACTGCCACAGCCTTCCCATCTTTCAAAGTTGCATAGTAGGCTCTTCCGTATGATCCCTCACCGATCAATGCCTTTGATCCAAAATTATCAGTCTTCTCTTTCAGCTCATCCAATGACAATGCAGGCACATCAATAGATGGAGGCTCCTTTAAAGCATCAGGCTTCACAGCAACCTGTGGTTTTTTGTTGAGCCCTTCAATACAAACAACAAGAAAACATGAATATCCTTAATACAAAGAAAAAAAAATCGGGTTTGAGCAATATCCGCATAACGTACTAACAAGATCTGCCACTAGCAAGAATAGTCAAGATATTGGCACCAAAATATCAAAGGGAATCACAACAAGTTTGAGGTAAAGAGCAGTACCATAATCATTATGGTGCTTAGGGCTTCTGAGGTGTTCATTTTCAGAAGAATGGTAAGGTTCTTCGACGTGGCAAGCACAGCACAACCACCTACGCATCTTCTCTCTCTTGCCTATATAAAGATCGTCTACAGCTCTCGGTTTATCCAGCCGAACAAAGTAGCCTGGTGAACGATCGTTCGCCTGAAAATGTCATCATCATCATCATCATCATCATCATTACACGAAACTACTCAATCAACTCTCACAAAGATTTTGACAGAAACCTTTTTCATATCTACCAAATCAATACATAGCCAAAGCAGGTTTTTTCTACAAAATCATATCAAAGAATTCTGATCAAACTGAGATTCCAAATAAGCGCATTGATTTGAGATTTCACAATAAAGTTAAGACCTTTACACAAACTCACGTGTGCTTGAACGTCAGTTTCCAAACTCAAAAACACGCATTTTGGAATAGATTAAAAAATTCAAAGGCTTAGGACATAAATCTTACCACCAGACCACGACGATGATAATCAGAGTCCATCGGATACATACCCAAAACGAGAATTACAAACAAACAATCACCGGAAAAAAAGAAAAAACAGAGAGACGGATGGAATCAATTTAAGAAATTTGGCAGACAAACAAATGAGAAGGAGGAAGAGACGAAAGGGGATCGAGGTTCTGGAGAAAGGTGAGAAACCCAAAGAATTCAAAACCCCACAAAAGAGCAAAAGATTTTAAAAACAAAGTAAAAAACGAGAAAACAGCTAAGAGAATGTGTCAAAAGCAAAGAGAGACAGAGAGGAATGATCAAGAATAAAACATTTAACCCCAAAAAGGAGAAAAAAACAAACAAAAACCCAAATTTAGACGATTATAATAAATAAAGAGGTGGAGAATATACCTGTAAACTAAAGTCTATCTTTCTCTTGGTGAGAAATGGGTATAATGAGTATCAAATGGATGTAATGTTGGTTTTATTGTTCTGTTTTGTTGGTTAGAGATAAGAGAGAAGAAACAGACGTGGAGAACTGATTTTCTTCGACAGAAAAGCTTTGAGCAAGGACAGAGAGATAGATATTAATGGAGAAGGAGACAGAGAAGCAAACGCGCTTAAGGAAAATCTTCGACAAAGATATTTAATTGTTTTGTTTCTGTAGCTTTACTTTCTTCTGTCAACATCATTTTGTCGATGGTCAAGCTTTTTTCTTCTAAATAAACATTCTATAATGATGATTTTTTTTTTGCGCGTCTTTTACGTATTTGACCTAATCCGGTCTGATTCGTCGGCTTTGTTCGACCTTTGATCTGAAGAAAATATATACAGTTTAGATCAGTTTCTATGGTGTAAAGTGTTAAAAGATTAAATTTCTGTGGAAAAACAATAAAAGTGACCATCTTTTTTAAAAAAAGGATAAAAGTGTAAGAAGAATCCACAAAGATTTTAATAGCCATTAGAGCATGTTCAATGACGCTTAAGAGGAATGCTTAGGTGATTTTTTAAAAAAAAAAAAATTAAATACTCCATTATTTTAAGCATCGACGCTCAAACAAGCGTCTTAAGCATCAGTGTTTGCTAGACAGGTGTCAAAAACTGATAGGCTTCAAGTGTGAAGGCAAAACATTTTTTCTCTGGGTCGTGGGAAAAAATTTCATTTCTTCTCCATCCGAAAAAAAAACTCGAACATTGATTTCTCCGTCTGGATCGTCTGGAATCGTGCCGCCGAATGGAGTTAATTCCTCCGGCTTCCTCTAACCCCTCCGGAGTCCTCCGATTTCCTCCGGGTTCCTCCAGATTCCTCCAATCCTCTATCTTCTCAAATCTCTCCCAGAGCAAAGCAAGGAATTGGATCGTCGTCGACTGGGTTCTTCATGAATTTTACCAGCATAAATCACTCGGGAGCTTGGAAATGTGATGTACTGTTTTGCCTGAAAATCCCCTCTTTTGCTTTACTCTGATGCTGTTTTGTTGCTTAGTATCTTTTTACTGTGGTCTGACATCTGAAAAACTGAAGCATGCGTAAGAATACAATTTCGATCATCTTGGTATATTTTTTTACTGGTTCCTCCATGGATTTCTCTTTGATTGTTCTTTTTTGATTTGTCACACTGATATTCAGCTCAGAACATTTTAGTTGATTTCAACGCCTGCGTTTTTTTTTTTTGTTTTCTTCAGATGCCTTTGACACTGAGCAGCTTTTGCATTGCATTGTTGCATTGAGACACTTAATAGTGGGCATCCCATTGAAGCTTACAAAATCAGAATTACTTAATAAGAATTCTTAACTTCAAATTAATAATTAAATAATATTTAAGCACCTCTTAAGAGTTGCTACCATTGAACATGGTCTTAGGAAGCCCACAAAGATTTCTACTTCCCATACGTTTCGCGTTTATAATATTCCACGCGTTTGACGTTTGTGTTTTTACAATATTTGCCTGGATTAAACTAAGCTTAAAAATGTCAACACGGTTGACTGAGCAACAACGCTACTCCCTCTATGATCTCTTTACATTCACCATGATCTCTCACCGGAGAATCTCAGCTTGTTCTGCAGCTGGGGTTTCATTTTCCTTCCCTATCCAGGCTCTCAATTCTCATTTCTTGGAAAGAGAGAGCAATTGTAATGGGTTTCAATTTCAAGGAGAACAAGACGAAGAAGACTTTGATTGGACTTGGCTTAGGACAGATCCTCTCGCTCCTCTGTACTTGTAATGCGTTTACATCGTCTGAACTCGCCAGGAAAGGTTCAAGATTCTTCTTTTTTGGGTTTATGCTTTGAGGGTTTGTGACTTCTCTGGACCCTTTTTCTCTCCCTTCTCTCTGAGAATCTCAATTCTTCTAGATACATTTGGTTAGCATCAACCGATCGATTTGCCATTTCCCAGAAGCTTCATGACATGTCTGCATTCTGAACGATGATAAAGTGATTTCCTTTATACATTCTCTAAAATTTGAAATCTTTTTAGGAATTAATGCTCCAACAACACAATCGTTCCTCAGTTATATGTTACTGGCAATCGTCTATGGAGGTATCATGCTGTATCGAAGACCCACAATTAAGGTCAGTTATTGAAATTTCTCTTTTTGGAAACATTGTGTTACTGCTAATTTCTCATTGTTGTAGGCCAAGTGGTATCATTATTTCCTTCTTGCTTTAGTTGATGTGGAGGGCAATTTTCTCGGTGAGTGTTCTTATGGAGACACTCTTCTTTTTGTCCCGCTAATCAAAGTCTTTGGCTTGAACACTGGTCCTGAGGTTTTTGTGACAATCTAGTGATATTTTGAAGAGTATTTTCTTAGAAATGTACATACTTACATCACATTCTGGTTACTGCTGCAGTGAAAATAATCTGTTCCTCTTTCGAGTTATTACAGGACAGCTTGTTCGTTCTTGTCCTGTGGTAGGATTTTGAATCAGTTCCATTTCTTTATGTAGTGGTGAAGGCGAATCAGTACACATCGATAACGAGCGTGATGCTACTGGACTGCTGGGCGATCCCATGTGTTTTGGTCTTGACATGGCTTTTCCTGAAAACAAAATACAGATTGATGAAGATCAGTGGTGTGGTTATCTGTATCGTTGGTGTTGTCATGGTAGTCTTCTCTGACGTTCACGCAGGGAGTCAAGCAGGTAATGGCGGAAAGTGATTCGTTACTTATGCTTTTTATTACCATTCCAAGTAAGCACTCGCATAGCGTAGCCCCAAGAAACTCCATTTAAGCATCTTAAGATGGTGGCATTTTTCAGGAGGAAGTAATCCTGTTAAAGGAGATTTTCTTGTTATAGCTGGAGCAACCTTATATGCTGTCAGTAATACCAGCGAGGTAAGCAAGTCTCTGCAAAATTCCTTATGACAAAATCAATCTAAGCAAAGTATTGGAATTTAGTGTCCTTGTTTCTGTTATAGGAGTTCCTTGTGAAGAATGCAAACACAGTTGAGCTGATGACCTTCATGGGATTTTTTGGCGCCATTATTAGTGCCATTCAGATGTATCCTTCAGAAGAAGAAGAAAAAGCAATGATTGTTTTCATGTTTCTTAGACTTATATGCATATTCTGCAGGAAGTTCCTTGACTTGTCTATAGAGGCATACTTGAACGCGGTGAGCTCAGAAGTATTCACTGGTCAGCTGATGTGGTAATTTTCTTGCTATGTCCGTTTCACTTTCACTTTCAATCTCTGCAAACCAAAGAATTTTCGTTTATGGCTTTAACACTTTCATGGTATCAGGTTTTTCCTTTTCTTAGAGTCGCAGTCACGATGTTTTTCTTCTACTCATTACTCCCGGTTTTACTTAAGGTATAAACAAAACTGAAGACATAATATGATCAGAACCGCCTTCACTCTCTGTTATCATGCCATGCATCTGAAACATTAACATCTTCTGAGATATGATGATCTTCTCAGACCAATGGTTCAACAACGTTCACACTCTCGTTACTCACATCAGACATGTGGGCGGTTTCGATCCGCATTTTTGCTTACCACGAGAAGGTAGGCGCGTTTTGTGTCTCAAACATCAGAAATCTGTTTACATTTTCTGTCTATAGAAACCACCGGATTACACCAATGAAACAAGTAGCCATGCATGTATGTTAATGTCAGGTGGATTGGCTCTACTACTTGGCATTTGCTACTACAGCGATTGGACTGATCATATACTCAATGTACAGTCTTTCGTAATCTTTCCTCAACTCTGATATCTGTTCTGCAATGACAACTTCATCAGAACAGTAATCAATACATGGAGATCAGTATGCTTTCCTCTGTATTTTTTTTTGTATGTTCTCAGGAAAGAGAAAGATGAGGAGGAACAGAGAGATGAACAGAGGAAGCTGTTGTTGGATGAGGAGGATGGTGAAACATTTCGAGTCAGCCTTATATAGGTGCTCCCACCTAAACCGTAACCAAAGCTTAAGTCTTTTTTTTTTTTTTCCTTTTTTCATTTTTTTTTCATTCATTCAATGGCTTATGTCGTGAGTATAAAGATTATTCTTTCTACACAAAAGAAAGTGTAAAGAGAAAAAATTGGTTTATTTGATACCACTTGGCCTACACAAGTTTAATAAGTTATAAACGATATATGGATGTTTCTAAAACACAACAGTTAGCTTCTTCCACAAGATTTAGGTTCACTTCTCGAAAAGCTTTATCCCCCATTGATATCTTCTTCGTCTTGCCACAACCTTAACTAATGACAAGAGTGGGTGGTGGTCGTAGAGACGCGGCTGAGTTTCGACGGAGAATACCGGTATCATTGCACGGAGATGACACTTATTTTAGGCCCATGTAGCCTCATATGGCCTTATAAGCCCACACAAATTGTTTTTTTTTTTTCTAATTCAAATTTTATAAAAAGTCTCTCAAACATGATCTGCCATACAAATATATTTATAATCCATTATTAAAGGGCCATTATTAAATAACAGCTATCTGTGTATCTTAAATTCATATCTTTTTATAATTAATCTATGATTCTACATAACAAAATCTGCATACATTATATGAAGTTTCAAAAGTTAATACATAGATATCACGGGACTATATATTATTGATTACAATGAGAAGTGTTCAAATCATTTTCGTAAGAAAGAGTCAACGATTCTGTAGAATATAGAAAGACTCGCCGCCTTCACTCTCCTCTGATTTGAATTTGATCCATTGTCTCTACACATTCACCATAACTTTTCACCGGAAAAAACTTTAGCTTCCTCTGCAGCCAAGGTTCGTTCCTCCTGTTTCCTTTTTTCGGTTACACCGGAATTAACCGGAAAGTGGTATTTATGAGAAAATAATTGTTTGATTGTAAGGAAGAAAAAGCAATAATGGCGTGTTTCAATTTCAATGAGATCAAGACGAAGAAGACTCTGATTGGACTTGGGTTGGGACAGATCCTCTCGCTTCTCTCTACTTCCATTAGCTTTACTTCGTCTGAGATCGCGAGAAAAGGTTGTTTTACCTTTTTTTCTTTCAACCCATTTTTTCATACATGAATTTCATGGCTTACCAAATTTCGAAAATCTTCTAGGGATTAATGCTCCAGCATCTCAGTTGCTCCTGGGTTATGTGTTCCTGGCTATTGTCTATGGAGGTATAATGCTGTATCGAAGACCCGTAATTAAGGTCACAATTAAAATTTCTCTTCTTGATTTCACTTTGTCTAACTACTTCCTCTTGGGTAATTAAAGATCATCGGAGTAATCTGAGTGTATGAAAAGATTGCATTTTGCTGAGATTCAAAAGCAATGAACTAGCACAAGTGTTGCTAACATCTTCAATGCAAATTTGTAGGCAAAGTGGTATTGCTATTTACTCCTTTCTCTAGTTGATGTGGAGGCGAATTTTCTCGGTGAGTTAGCGACCTTTTGTTTTGGTCGTGCTAATCCTAGTCTTTGGCTTGAACATTGATTTCTTAGAAATGTAATACTTCCATGCTTTAAAGCATGACCAGCTAAAGTGAAAAGTAATCAGTTATTTTCCTGTCTTGTGGTGAGTATTATTATGAGGTTTTGAATCAAACTTTGTTGCTTCCCTTGTTTTAACAGTGGTAAAGGCATATCAGAACACATCAATGACGAGTGTCATGCTACTGGACTGCTGGGCTATCCCTTGCGTTTTGGTATTGACTTGGGTTTTTCTAAAAACAAAATACGGATTGATGAAGATCAGTGGTGTGGTTATCTGTATTGTTGGTGTTGTCATTGTAGTTTTCTCAGACGTCCATGCAGGGGATAGAGCTGGTAATGGTGTAAAGTGATTCATTACTTTCTTACCATGTCTTACACTCTTCACAAGCCTGGAACTAAACGCTCAAGCGTATTGGCCCGAGAAATTTCTATTTAAGCATATTATGGTGGCTTTCAGGTGGAAGTCATCCTGTCAAAGGAGACTTTCTTGTTATAGCTGGAGCAACCTTGTATGCTGTCACCAATGTCAGTCAGGTAAGCAAGTCTCTAATCACATACTCAAAAGAGAATACTGTTCTGTTCTTATATCGCGAAATGATACTTTTTAAAAACGGTAATGATAACCACCTGAGTGTACTTGTAATTCTTGTCTCCTTGTTTCACTGTTATATATAGGAGTTCCTTGTGAAGAATGCAGACAGATTGGAACTCATGTCCTTTACAGGCCTTTTCGGGGCAATTATTTGTGCCATTCAGATGTATCCTTCAAACAACAAGGCTAAGAGTTTTTTTTCTTTTAATGTTTCTTAAACTTGAATGCTATCAAAGAAGATCTTCCTTGACTTGTCTATAGAAGCATATTTGAACGTGGTGCGCTCAAAGCTATTGACTGGTCAACTGGGACTGTAAGCCTGCTACTACATTGCAGATATCCATTTCCCTTTCAATATCTGTTAACCAAATTAAAGCCTTTTTCTTTTAGCAGTACAAACTAAATACTTCTGTGGTTTCAGGTTTTGTCTTACCTTGTAATTGCACTCGGTGTGTTTCTCTTCTACTCGTTACTCACAGTCTTACTCAAGGTATGAGACTAAACTAAAACCATACAGTGACCTCCTTCACTCCATGTTTCCATGTCAATATGTCCCTTTATTGTCATGCCTCTGAAACATATAACATCTTGTGGGAATATGGTCTTCTCAGACCTATGGTGCAGCAATGTTCACTCTCTCGTTACTCACATCCGACATGTGGGCGGTTTTGATCCGCAATTTCGCTTACCATGAGAAGGTTAGCGCACTTTGTATATTGAACATCAGGAAACACTTACATTTCTCTCAGTAGATACCAGTGTATGTAATCATGTGTCGCTAAATATGTTAGGTTGATTCGCTCTATTACTTGGCATTTGCTACTACAGCTATTGGGCTGATCATATACTCAATGTAAGTCTTTCCTAATCTTTCTTCATTTCCAATATCTGTTCTGCACTCTGGACACATCAGTATTCTTCACCTCTTTTGTTTTATTTTCTTGATATTATCATTGCTCAGGAAGGAGAAAGATCAGGAGAAACAAATAGGCGGAGAAGTGATCGACGAGCAGAGAAAGCTGTTCGATGAGGAGGATGGTGAATCAATGCGAGACAGCCTTATAGGTGCTCCCACCTGAACTCAAAGCCTGATGTTGTTTTTGTTGTCTATGTCGTGGCTGTGAGATATGTATTTTTTTTTTCGGGCATAAAAAAAGAAAGAAGTGAAGAAACTTTTGGGTGGAGACAAGTTTTGTGAATTTTCTCTTAAAAAATTGGTCTAACTGATTTAACCAAAAAAAAAAAAATTGGTCTAACTGTAGATAAAAAAGAAGAAGAAAATGGCATTTATTTGATACAGTTTGTTTGCGTAATAATACTTATGCAGTTATGATATTTCAAATGGTGTTTGATTATTTCCCACCTATTGGATAGGAAATGTTTTACTTACTTAATAGCCTATATTTTTCTATTTTTAAATAAACAAGCGTCATTAACATTTAATAAATGACTATCTCAGTTAATTTTATTATGACTCAATCTCAAGAACTATCGCAACTAAACTCAGAATTAAAAAGTTTACGGTTCTCAAAGGCAACACACTCTATGAATGTATTTAAAGACTCGCCAAAACTCATATCTGATCCATTGTATACTCACCACAGATTCTCAGCTTCTTCAACAACTAAATTTTTCTCTTTCCACAGCTTAGAGGGAGTGTTGAAACTTAAAAAAAGAGAGCAATGGGCAACTGTAAAGAGCAAAAAGACTTTATTTGATGTTAATTTATTTAATTGTAAACAACAAAGTAAGATTTTTTGAGAACAACATTGGACTCATTATAGAAGTTACTTCAAATGTATCAACTTCTATTTATTCTTAAGTTTTTTCTTAAACTTACTACTACAGTGTAAGAAGCTGCATCTCCACACAGCTCTAGTACGGTCACTTGAAAGCTCATCGTTATGTACACAAACGTCAGAGCAAAGAGCTCGTGTAAGTTACCAGACAGATCCAGTGGCAAAACAGCTCCTTCTCTGTTTACTTGTTTGTTTTGGTTTACTGATTTTTGATCAGTAATGGTTCTCAACGATATGCATCCTTCAAACTCTCTTCATGAGACTTCATTTTCCTTCTGCGTGAACGAGGGAACAGTAGCTGGTGGATCTTCTTCTCTGCTGCTATTTCTGTCATAGCCTTTTACAAACAATGACGAAGAGAGCATCAGCATAAATCAATCTACTTATATCAATGATTCTGCATTGTTATTGAGAAAAAAAGTTGCATCATTGTTTGATGTTTTAGTCTGAGAATTCTCTCACCCTGGTTTTGAAAGGGAAACGGTGGGTTTGGACTTGTGCACCTGCGAAAACTCTCACATCCATACCAAGACTATCAACACTGATCAGGTTAGCTTCCTGCATGAGATTACCGTAAAGTAGCAAGACTGGTTTACAAAGAGTGGTGGATAAATAAAACCGTAACTGTAACAAAGCGATCACTATTACTGATTAGGTGTATTCCAGATTATTGTATTCAGAGACTTGGACACAATACCTCTGCATGAAGACCCTTCTTTTTGCAGAGAGCTTTTAGGGCAATGCTGGAGTTGATCCCCCTGTTGTTGAAGCGCTCTATGATTGCAGAAGTAGAGTGCACTAGGATGTCTGGTTCAGCATCTTGAAAATCTTGCAAACTTATAGAAGACTGAAAATAGTCAAAGTATCTAAACATCAACGCACGGTGAGACCGTGGAAAAAAAAAATGAAACACTGAGAGTTTGTACGAAAGTCTATGTTAGCAAAATATCTGAATCTATGTTAAATCGCAACTTCACCATCTATTCAAAAACTTTTTTCCTTCATCCACGTGACCTGACAATTATTCAAGGAAAATTGGAAAAGAGTATAAGCATACCTCTGCTCCATAGAGGGAAAGAAGCTCTATTCCCACAATCTCTAATCTATATAGACTTGAACTCATATCGTTCTCCTCACGTCTAGAACTAGTGCTTGGATTATCATCGCCTGAAGAGAAACGTACAAATGGAGGGATATACAAGACGTCAAACAATGGGTTCATTAATCTAATTAAGCAAAAGTCAAAAAACAGTATTCTGCTGAGGCGAAGTAAATTTGAAAGGACCTTGAACATCCCAGCTATAATCATCTCTATCTTCCGAGAGAAACAATCTTCTTATATAGGATTCCTCGTCAAGGAAAGCAGGCCTAAGGCAGCCGAGTATGGATACACCATTAGACGGATAGTCCATTTTCCTGTCATAGTCCACGCTAATGGCCTGAATGATTGCAAATACAAGAGATTCCCACTCAACTACATCTTCAATGCAATCCAAGAACAGTATGTTTCATATACTAGAGGGTTTGGTAACTTTGTTGCAAAGTGTTAATAACCTTGGACAGGTGTTTGGCAAAGTAAATAGGATGAACCCCGTTGGAAGTGTCAGGCATTCCCCAATCGACCGGAATATCTCGAGCTTCAGAATCCATAATCTACAATCAACAAAGAGGGTTAATAAGACAAGAGACTTGGCATGCTTTGCAAGAAAAAAACTAAAAGAATACAAAACTTGCAGGCTACCTCGAAATAATGGTCATCAAAGATAATTTGGTCAAGATTACCAATGTCCGACATGTTATATTCCTCATGGAGCCGTGCGTTTTCGTATCGCGGGACATCCATTCCAAAAAAGGCTTTCTACAAGAATGTGATGAAAACTCAGGTTAACAACAGATGCTGGACGTTGTGCTTTATGCCAAACTTATCAATTATGTACAGATACATGACATTCTACTTGATCAGTGACACGCTTACCACTGGATTACTAGCTCCAGGATCTTCTAAGATGTTCTCATCATCAGGAATTTCGAAAAAGATATCTAGAATAGAAAGAGAAAAAAAAACACACGAAGAAAACAGAGCTGGTGAGAACGAAAGTGATCGATATATATATTACTATATGAGCAATAAATATAAGCCTGACCTCCATAATCATCAATGACATACTTAAACTCAGACCATGAATTCTGATCATGTGGTTCACAGTGAATAGCTCCAGGAAAAACCAGCACAGCACTGCTGTTAGCCTAGAATTGAAAGGAAACCGTTTTCATGCAAACTCAATATAGCAAAAGCACAAGAGTACACTGATCTCATATTGTTTCCAAGCGAGCTACGAACCTCGACCGTAGTTCTTGCTACTTCAGGAGCGGAGAGTTTTGTCTCCTGGACTCTTTTGCTGGGCTTCAATTCTTCGAGAGGATGATAGCCGTAGAAAGATGAGTCAGGAACCGAATCAGAATAATCAGCAGCAACCGAAACTTTTGTGAGGCCAAGGTCATGTCCACCAGTCGATACATGAAATGCAGATCCAAGAAAAGGAATCTTGCACCTGGAACTGAATTAAGGAAATCACATTAAGAGATGACAGGATTTTAAACTTCCATCAGAAACACTCCAGTAGCAAAACAATGGACCAACATTTCGTGGAGACCAAATTTTTTTCATAGACACAAAATCGATGCATATACTATATATATGCATACATACGTTTTATTGTTAACTAAATTACCTTAAAACAGAGAGATTAGCAGAGCCACATCCATCAAATACACGATTTCTTGCGCTGCCGTTTCTTTTGTAAGGCATGGAGGAAGAGAACTCATCCGTGTAAGATTGATGGTAATGTGATGGACCTGATGAAGACGTACCATTAATGTTCAATGACCCCAAATTACAAAATTGTTTTTAAACAAAAAAAATCTCAGGGAAGAAGAAGCAAAAGAGGAAAGATTAAAACTTTGAAAATTCACAGATATCTAACATTGACATGAACATAAAAAGTCATTCAGAAAAACAAAACTTGACCCAGAAATTAATATTCCCAAGCTATTCCCAAGCAGAGAAAAAAAAAAAAGAAATCAAAAACAAAAAAGTGAATCTCCGAAATGCTTTCGCCATTAATAAAAAGGTTTGATTTTTGAGGAAGAGTTAAACTAATTCGTCTAACACAGCCATGCACTATCACCACCAGCTTCAGATTAATTAAAGAACAATATTATGCGAAATAAAATGAAGAGAGAGAGAGATCTCGAAAGTTGGTGAGATACCAAGGGAAAAAGAAGAAGTAGCCGCGATCACCATGATTACACAAACAGATGAAGCGGATCGGAGAAGCTGAAATCTCAGCCGCCGTGAAATGTCAGACAAGCTGATCGTTAAGAGTTTTCGTCTCCGCCGTAAACTTCGCCGTCTTCGTCGCCGTCGTCGTTGATCACGTTTCTGTCTCTTTGTTTATGTTTACTGTCGCATCTATTAATTTGCCAGAGACTTCAGAAACTTTCAACATTTTTATTGTTTTTCTATTCATTTTTTTTGTTTTGTTCCTTTTTTTGTTGTCTTCATGGAAATATTGATTTTTTTTTTTGTGTTTTTTTTCTTGTTATCTATTTGGGTCAGATCATGGGAAAGTTGTTGTGGTTGGTATTTTCTTACGGAAATCTCAAATTTCGTTTCCTTTTTCTATCTCAAATAAAAATCTATCGAAATGAATAACATGATGGATGGATATTCCTTTGATTCTTTATTTAATGCTCATCATGAAATCTCCTTGACACACAGACGACCAAATGTGACTTTTGATTTGGTACGGTTTAGTTGGTTTAATTTGGTATGGTCTGGTTTAGTAAACTTAGATGAAGGTGATTTCATTAATGGTACAACTAGAGATTTCCTAGGCGATGATGATACGAACATGCAAGTCTCTTTCTCTTCTTATTTTTCGTCTTTTTCAGACGTCGGCAATGTTGGTACCAACAATATGCAAATCATATATACAATATTACAGATTCGGGATATACGTTTAACAATTTTTTGTTTTTGTGAAGTTACATGTATCTCAGATGTTGGCAAGTAAAAAATGTTTCTTCAGATAATTTGCATTTTTTTGTTGTTTCTTTGGCTTTTCGTGAATTCTCTGTTTCACCATAGCAATCCCAGTATTACATACATAGAAAGACCCCTAATTTTTACGTGAGTGGAAAAACATTTCACAGAAAAATGTAGTATCTGAAAATACATGTGTTATGTGTACATAACTCTCACCTGAGTAAAGGTTTATGCATTTCTCTCTCACCGGTTACAAATCTCACAACAAAACTCAAATAGGCCGAGAATTATTTATTGCAAAAAAATAAAAGCCGAGGACTTGATCCAATATTACGACTGACCAAACCCCAACTTACCTTAAACCGACCAAAAAATTTACAAATCCAGGCCAAAATGGTTGTGCTCTGTTCTTGGATTTTACTAGTGTTAATGTAAACTGGGCATAACTGTGTTTCGCTCGGATCGGATCTTACCGGTATCCTCCACCATAAGGTTGCTGCTGCTGAGGGTTGTAACCGCCTTGACCCATCATCGGATTATAAGCAGCACCTGTCATGCCTGGTTGTGGACCAGGAGCCATGGCCATCCCTTGTTGTGGTTGCATCGGGTAGCCTTGAGGCCCTTGACCATATCCTCCCATGTTCATGTTCATGCCCATTCCCATGTGATGGTTTTGGTTCATGTTCATGCCCATTCCCATTCCCATCGGATTGTTTTGGTTCATGTTCATTCCCATTCCCATCGGATGGTTTTGGTTCATGTTCATGCCCATTCCCATTGGATGGCTTTGGTTCATGCCCATAGGGATGCTTGAGCCTACCATTGAGTTCGTTGGAGGTCTCAAAGCGCCTGCACCCGCACGGCCTAAGCCAGTACCAGATCCCATGGCTTTGCCCATGTTGATAGTTGATGTAACTTGTTGTTGTGCCGTGGTTGGTTTCTCTAGCCGTTTCTCTTTCCTGTTGATCGCCTCAAAATCAACTCCTATATCTGCCAAAGGATTTGTTTTTGCTGCACGGTGATAAAACGAGGTAAGAAATTTTGCTCCACAATTTAGGAATTGAGAGACTGTTATATAGCATTATCTCACTTACGTCCAGATATGTTGAAATTCACTAGCCCTCTGCTTAATGTGTCTGCCCAGATTGTTGATTTCGGTTCAAACTTTTTCTGGGTTTGAGGAACAATCTCAATGGCCCCTGTTAAAGGTGTGAGAGATGGTTGAGATGCTGAAGCACCCATGGAACCTAGTCCAGCTGGTGCAAACATGTCTCCAACAGGTCCAGATTGAGTTCGCTGGGGTGTATGGGAAGGGACTCCTTGACCTTGCTGTGTCACACCATGACCTTGCTGTGTCACACCATGACCTTGCTGTGTCACACCATGACCTTGCTGTGTCACACCATGACCTTGCTGTGTCACACCATGACCTTGCTGTGTCACACCATGACCTTGCTGTGTCATAAAGTCTCCACCATCAAAGTGACCAGCTGGTGCATTGGGTGTACTAGAGTAAGGAGTTTGTGAGCTTGATGAAGTAGCGGAACCTGGATGGTGAGAAAAAGTCTCACTTGATGGGTGTGAAGACAGACCAGGAGTATACTGCGGAGGTTGAGAATTTGCAGAACCCGCATAGCCTGGCTGTTGTGTGAAGCCTCCATTGTTGAACTGCACACCTCCAGGATGATTTTGCGAGTGAGAATTCATGTTATAATGTTGTGAAGCTTGACCAAACGGAGTCTGTCCTGGCATGTTCGGATCCGTAGGCACTGCCTGGGGATGAAAACTTTCATACACATTACCGTTGGGAGGAAATTGAGATGTTGGCATCGTGGGATTTGGCTGAGGCAGAGAATTTGGTGGTCCAGATGGCGGGAGAATGCCGGCAAGAATATCGATTTCGCTTTGCGATGTAGTATACTCTTCTTGAGGGAAGACGGATGAGTCCGATGGAGCTTGCATAGTTTGAACGCCAGGTTCAGGATTGGGAACAGCAGAAAATGATTCCCCGAAACCAAAATTATCACTATTGTTAGGATTTGAGGCTGGTGGTGTTGGCTGGAAAGGAGCTCCAAAAGTCTGATGTTGGCTTGGGTCAGTGTCAGCAGAAGTGATGGCTTTGAACGGAGATTCACCAAATGGATCATCAAACGGCTACACAAAGGGAGAAAAGATAAGGTTTAATGGTAACATACTCAACATTTTTACCAATAAAAATCTACGAGAATGAATGGTTAAGCGCAGTATGAATACCTGAGTTGATGACTGGGAAGTAGAAAACGACGGAGCTGGACTAGCGTTTGCTTGTCCATTGGTTACAACAGAAGTAGAATCAGATGTAACAATAGCCAGCGGGTTTGATGAAAATACATCTGAAAGAGAGCCAAGCAAGTCCATTTCGGCAGTATCTGAGACCGAGACTGGTGGGGCTGACGTAGAAACTACTGTTGGTGGGCTAGGTTCAGGAGCCGAAGCGGTAGCTGTAGGCACACATAATAAAGTATGTTATACAAAACCAACACTCAGATACGAACACAACCCTAAACCTTCAAAAATGGTGCATTTAACATTTTCTGTGGTATAGGTGAATCCCTATGCTACTGTTCTGAGGTGTATACCAATCTTAGAGAAAACTATACCTGGAACTGACCCTCGTGGATCAAATTCATCAAAAGCCTCAACTTGCTGAGGTGGTGATTCATCAACAAAACCAGCAGATTTGTTGTCCATGCTGCTGCTTTCGGCAGGAGGAGAAGCAGCAGCTCCTGGAGGACCAACCTGTGGAGTCTCCCCACCATCCCTGAAATCAACAATTTTAAAATGATTTCATCTGAAATTTAGAATCGCTAAGAAACAACGTTACTTTTTAATTTGTATTGTAGAGAATTGTCACCTTTCACTGAATACAGGGCTCCGTGATTCACTGACAGCTTCTTCATATCTAGGTGGGGCGGCACCAATATTTTGTTCAGAAAACTTCCTCTCTAGCCCCCCTCTATCAAATCCCAAAAATAAGAGATACGGGTTGACATTTTTTCCCACAATAATTAATACGACAAAAAAGGCACATCCAAAACTCAGCACACATCGAGGAACTTACCTCCCATCTTGAGAATGATCATCAGCTCGTGCACCACTGTCCCTGCAGGAATAAGTGGAATATTTCATCAAGTTTCTGAAATGATGCTCAGGACAAGCTTTTTATACCGCAAGAGCATCTAAGCTATTATCCATCCGAATATTGTGGATTGATCACCCAACAAGTTTCTCATATTCTGTCTGTTCATCATAATGCGGGGACTTAAAAAAAAATAATCAACATACCGTGATGAAGATTGACCATCATCCTCAAAAGGCCGTTCTCTGTCCGAGCTCCTACCTCTTGATCCATTTCGGTAATTATCAACACTTCTGCTCCTTCCACGATATTCATCATCTCTGTTACCATCTCTTCCATACCGTTCTTCAGAGTCTCGACTACTTCTATCATCATCTCTATAGCCATATTCTCTTTCTCTCCCATAACTACTTCGCCCTTCATCTCTGTCTCCATAGCGGCCTTCGTAATCATATTTGTCCCCATATCCTCCTGACGGCCTAGGCATCCCACCTACTGGTGAATTACGATATCTGATATATATAGAAAAATGTCAATATGTTCCCTTTCTCTCAAGGAAAAAAATGTTCAGAAACAGATGATTATAATGCTGAAAGAAAACAATATCAAATTGACGAATTAGGAAGCAAATGCAGTTGTGAAGCCTGGCTAGGAAGCAGTTTTAATCAAACATAAGCACACGAAATTGACCCTGTGAGGAAATAATCTAGCAATTCCATAGAGTTACACACAGAAAAGATTTACTTGTCTCTGTTAGCAGCAGCCTTCTCTCTGACCTCCACTATTCTTTCTTTGTCATTTACCAAAGCCACAAGGCTCTGTGACTTTTTCCTGACATTGCTACCTTGATCTTTACCGCTGGAATCAATATACTGAAAATCGGACAATGTCTGGCACATGGTAAAGGGATAAACTCCATCAGTAAGATAATCAACAGCTGAGATACAACAGCAAAATTCTTGACGAATACATCCAAAATTTTCACAACTTTGTGATCATTACCGAAATTTGATATGCACGTTCTTTAATCTCGTCTATGACACGTTCTGATCCATGGGCTACCATGTACTCCAAGACTGTCAATGCCTGAAGAGTAGAAAAGAGATACCCATCAGGAATTGGTTTCATTCAGTGTGACAGCACTATTATCATATCGAAAACAAGCTCGGCCTATATATTTGTTTTACCTTATAGACATGTCGCCAATTTTTTCCAGTGTCACTAAGGCGTTTCCATAACACTCCCATGGTGAGCTGGTATTCATGGCTGCATCAGGAAAAACATATAAGTCATCCAATAAGATAATATTATGGAAAAGGATGACAGGATAAAATGTGTTTGTAATTACTAATTTCTTGAAGCATGCGCAATATCCGCAAGAAGTGATCCATGCGGACCCCATGACTCATTGCTTGTAGCATCTAGAACCTGAATAAGAAACAGAATTGCAAGAAATAGAAACAAACAAAGTGAAAAGCGTGTTTAGAAAATCTCCTTTAAATTCCATAATAGAAGATAAGCTCATCCAGAAGCTTATATAAAAAATTATAGACTTAATAATGCAGACCAAATACAGTTTCTTAAAGCATTGCAGGTGTCAAGTAAAATTCAATAAAACTACAAGTAGAGAAAAGCAAATAACATGGTTTTACCTTCTGTTCTATTCCAGGTACTTTAAGCACTTTCTTGTTGACCCCTCTCTTACTACAAACAATTGCAAGAAAGATAATATAAGGCATCTCTAGTGAAAAATAAACATTACACACACATATATTGAATACTCCAAGCCTTACAGGTCTCTGACAGTTTGACCAAATGCTTTCTTCATATCCAAATGTGAAACTCTGCTTGTTATGGTAAAAGTGCTTACTGCGCTTTATAACCTGATCCAAATGTCAAATAGCTTTAAATGTCGTTTGTTTTAAACCGATCATCAATCACCAAAAATGGTAAAACAAAGAGTCATATAGAGTTTTAAACTGGATAAAAAAATTGAAAACAGGGACCCAAAATGAATCAGCATAACCTCGCATTCCAATGTAAGACTACAAAGTAAGAGTATACAGGAATTTTACTAAGCAACCAAAACATAAACGTACATCGCAGCAACATTAAGAAAAATTCCTATAAATGTCAACTCATCGAATCAAACAGCAATCACAAATGCAAAAGGACGTGAATGTGATTTGTTCAGAGACAACCAAATAAAACATTATACAGGCCACAGAAAGAGCCACCTCGCAACAAAATCTCCCATTTCGACACACACCGACAAATCGACTGTAAAGCCATCTAACAAATTTAGGGTGCGAATCACATCTGGGATTCGATTCCAAAATGGTACATAGTCAATGCGTGATCAAACGCGAAGAACGACATTCAAAATGCAGCTTTAAAAATATATGGTTTGCCTCGAAATTTCGTCTTTAAAAACGATTTGCAGTCGATCAAACGGATTTGCCAAACCGGAAACATAAAATGACAAATTCAGCTGAAAAGTGGAGAGGAAGCACGGATCTAAAATGAAATCAAAACAAACATACATAATGACCATAAACATGAAAATGATCTGACGAACAACAAAATCAATCAAACCTGAAGGCAAAGGAAATTGGATCGCGGATCAATAAGGGACAAAAAAAAATAAGAATACGAAATGGAGACAGAAATGAGGAGAGGAAAAACGGGAAGGAAGGAGAGAAATCCTTTGGAAACTTGTGCGATGGTTTCCCTTTTTTGCGTTTGGCTTCGCACTTTTTTTCCTCGAGAGAATCAGAGCAGCCAAAATCCGGAAAAGGAAAATAAAAAATAATAATAATAAATAAAGACAGCGCATTTAAAACGCAGAAAATTAAGGGCTTCGAAAGATTTTTTTAAGTATCGTTCATCCCTTCTTTTTCCTTTAAAGTCACAGCTGTTTAATTACTTTGATTGGGGTGACAAAAAAAAACAATTATGTTCACTAGGAAGAATACCTTTCGTTCATTGAATTTATAAGTTTAAAACAAGGGAAATTGTACATGCACTTAAGAGAACATTTGTTTAAGCTAAATTTCAAGTTTAATGTTAATAAATAATAATAATGAAGGCGCTAATCGGTGCAATTTCTTAAAAGTATCATATCATTTGGTAAACATATAATCATAATGTTGGTGTGTTAATAAGAAGGGACAGGAATGAATGAATTGAGGACGTCTTCGTCCAATGACAAACCCCTAACAATAGACATTTTTCTTAATATTTTTAATCTCATTGTATTCTTGATAAATATAATCAATACGCAAATTGAATTTCTTTCATTTGCCATCAAACAAAAAAATTACTTTTTTCATTTTTCCTTGTTTGATTATTGTCGGTCCAACTATTTCGACTATGTGCTATAAGGAAAATTTAGCTAATTAATTAATTCACTCTAAACATTTTATCCATCCAGTAACGATGGGCCTCATTTGTTAAAAGCCCAAGCCCAAATCTGACACGTGTTGTATTTTTTATTGGATTCTATTAAAAATTCCTTGGGCGTCAATCCTGTGCTTCGTGCTGGTCATTCGTCTTCCGTGTTTCTCCCAACTTTTTATTACACGAACAGAAGAAGAACAGAGAACCCTAGATTGTTCTTTTGCCTTCGTCCTGTTTTACTTCTCTCTCTCTCTCTCCACGAAAACGAACAAGAATCTCCTTGACAAAAGAGGCATCTTTATCGATTATCAATCGATTAATTAATCGGCTTCCATGGTGGGTTTTCTCTCACCGCTTCTCCATTTTTGAGTTTTGATTTAATCTCTTGGGTGATGATTCTTTCTCCATCGATTGATTTTAGACTCCTTTGAGACTTTTTTTGTTAGCTTTATGCTGTTTAGTTGTATAAATCCGAGAGATTGATGGGTTCTACGAATTGAATACGGAATAGTAGAATACCAAGCTGGTCGCTTCATTTCGGAGATCCCTTTTATCCTTTTGTTATAGTATTTTGCTATCAATTTCATGAAATTTAGGATTTTTATTTGCGACTGTCTCGTTGTATGTTTGATTGGAATCCATCCATATTAGTATTAGGCTGTAATTGCATTTTTAATCGAAAAAAAAAACATAAAGTTGAAAGGAAATCCATGGATAAAAACAAGTCTTCACATACAATTGGCGCTTCTGTTTTGTTCTTTCTAGATTTGATGATCAGGCAAAGATGATGAAATGATGAAATTATGTGTCTTCAATCGAATCCCTTTGTTCATTGAATAGTGGCTAAAAGCGTCTGTGCTTATCATGTTGCATTCATTTTCCAGTATTCTCATTTCTTTCTTTTACAGGCTGGGAAACTACTTGCCAATTTGATTGTGATGGGTGGTGGGATATTGGGTCGTGCGTTCTTTCAAGCATACCGTCAGGCGCTTGCAAGTAGGTTCCAACACTTTTTTTTTATATATGTTACCTTATTGACACCAAGTGGTAGCTTCAATTGGTTAAAAGATGCATTTTTCGAATCAGATTGCTCTGTTTTCTTTATATGTTTCCGAACCAAATTGCTCTGTTTTCTTCGATAAACGGTAATTAAGACAAAGAGTCGTTTATATGTAACAAAGTAGTTCCTTCTTATCCAATAAATTTCTTTTTCAGATGCGTCTAAAACCGGTGCTGCGCAAGAAGCAATGCAAAATGCAGTACGTAAAGCAGGAAAAGCCATTAATGAGCAAGAGGCTAGGCAGATTCTTGGTGTAACCGAGCACACCTCTTGGGAAGAGATATTACAGGTAAAACGTGTCTCCTCTTTATCATTGACGATGATTTTATAATTTGAAACGCTGAAGCAAATTACTAAACAGAGTGGGTCTATATATGAATGCAGAAATATGACAAACTGTTTGAGAATAACGCGAAAGCTGGGAGCTTTTACCTTCAATCTAAAGTTCTTCGAGCCAAAGAATGTCTTGAAGTTGTGTACAAGAGCAAAGCCAACGGTACTCCTAGTTAAGACTTGAAATCTTTTTTTAATACAGATTCAAAATTCTTGCTCTTTATGTAAAATCGAAGACGATATCACAGTTCTTTGAGATGATGTGGATCTTTAAACATGGCCATAGTTTTCTTCACCTACTCATGAGTTATAACGAAGGCGCTTGAATGGATTGTTCTATGCGTGTTTGTTGTATCTTTCACTCTTAAGGAAAGACTTTCTAGGGGAGATTGTCGTTTTTGTTTTTGATTCATCAGACTGAAAATTGATAAACTACAGTTTGTTATGTATTTATTAGTTGGCTTATGTATAATAAAGGATGCTTGAGAAAGCTAAATTTCAGATTATGTATAAACTAATTGTGAATTGATCATGTTATGGGAAATAGTGTAAAGTCGGGCTCGCACGAGTTTCAGCAAATAAAAAGTTATTTTGATCTAAATTAGTTTTAAAGCTTCATTGGTCGATTTATTTTGGTCGATCCAGATTTGAATTTATAAACCTTCTAGTCTGCAAAAGTTGACCCGGAAAAGTCCGATTTTTCTTTCAAATTTGAGAGGATTCAACCTTGATCGATCACTATCTCTAACCTTCGGCATTTATAACTGAGTTCATAGGAGAAAGTGAATGGATTCAGACATATAGATTACGTTTGGCAATGCGAATCGAAGAAGCTACGACGAAAACGTGAAAGGAAATGAGTAGTCCTATTTGAAGTGATGCCCCCGAAACTGAAGTAGGTCTCTTTTGATTCACATCACAGTAGAGCAGAATTTTCTTGGCCTATTACCAGGTCGAGCTTATACAGTAGCTTAGATAAATTATGAATTTTTTAACAATAGTGAGAACTGAGTTCAAATCTCAACCAGTGACCGGCGAACAGAACAAGTCTTCTCAACTAATGATGACGTCAGCAGGGGCAAATTCGTCGATAATTTTTTTGGTCAGATTGATTAGATAGACGAAGACGATACTGCTTCAACTTAATAAATAACTTGATTCGACTATCGATGGAAAATATCTTCTTTGCCCACAGAGAAAGATCCTCCTTCATTAACAAAAAATCTGAGGACGTGACAACACTCGAAAAGAAAATCTACCATTGGAAGTTGTAACTACAGTTAGCTCAAAAGTTGTAAAATGAGTCAAAACCCTAATTTTCCACTTTCATTTCCCTTTTGCTATAAATCACTCTCTTCCCAATCCAGTTACTTAACAGTTGTGTTGTGTAACTGGCCTCTGCTTCTATCCCCAAGTAAGTTTTTCTCCGTTATTTTCTTTTTTTTCTCTTATGTAGCTTCTGTTTTTTGTTTTATGTTTAAGAGTTATCGGGTTTTAGTTTTATACAAACAAATTTTCTCTAGTAGTAGTGGGTTTTTGTTTTGATTCTTGACTCTTCTCTTTTGGAAAACTTAATAGGAACTCTACGACTGTGTAAAAGGTAGAAACCGGTTCTGAAATTGATAACGTTTTATCTTGGAATCCTTTTTATTTTCCTCTGTTCGGGCTTGAAGTGGTGATTGTATTCGATAAAGATGAATCTTGATTTTGATGACTCGACCCGTATGCATCCTGGAGTAAGAAAACAAGAAAGGGACAAGATTCGCAGACTTTTTATAAACCACGTTGATCGTAAATTGGCGTTGCATGGGAATGCTCCTTTAAACAGATTCTCCATCAAATGCAAAGATGATGTTGGTCCAGCTCCTCTCATTGGTTGGATAAGCAACGTGTTAAATCGTCAGGTATCAGAACTTGTTCTTGACATCTCTTCGCACTGGAATTGGCCTCTGTCTTCCGAGGTTGTTGCGTGCGAGACAATGGTTCAGGAGTTTTGGGAATCTTGCTCTGTATCTAGCGTTACCCTCAAGAGGCTAACGTTTCGTTTTCAGCAAATGTTGCAAATGTTAAATGAGAATCCCAAGAGTGTGTCGTTTGATACTCCGAATCTTACCTACTTCGAGTATTCTGATATTATTGCGGACAAGTATCCGAAAGTGAATTTCGCTTCGCTTGTGGAAGCTAGCCTCGACCTTCAAATGACACATGATCAGATTAATAAGGCAAAATTTTCAGAGGATGGTCCAGTCGATTTGGAAGTGGGGACGATGGTTGGTAATGCAACGGATCTTCTTATGGGAATACGCAATGTTAAGACGCTTTACTTATCTGACAACACTCTTGAGGTCAGTTTAGTCCCAACTTTGTCTTAATCTTTATTACCGAGTTAAAGGTTTCAACTTCTGTTCTGTTCTTGTTCTGTTCTAGGTACTTGCTTTCTGCTGCAAACCAATGCCGGTTTACAACAACCTGGTTCACCTAACTATCAAGACTGACCGAGATGTAGAATGGGAATCATTGACGGCACTTCTCAAGAATTGTCCAAACCTAGAAACCCTTGTCTTCGAAGTACCATATATTTCTTTTTATATCATCTGTTGATACATTATTCAAACCAAAGAGAAATAGATTTTACAATCCATTTGCTTTTGTGTTTTATGGACTTCTCCACAAACATGGAATGAACTGTGGAAGTCACGAGTGCCTATGCAGACCGTATGAGGAGGAGGATATTCCTATTTGCCTATCATCAAGTCCTGTGAAGGTCATAAAGATATTGAAGTTTGGAGTTATCTGTGAAGATGAAGACATGGACAAAATGATGGAGCAAGTCGAGTACTTCCTTGAGACAATGCCGAATCTTGAACAACTCATAATACACTACGAAACGTATATTGACGAAGATGTGGAGGAAGTATTAAGCCAATTTCAGATGGTTCCTAGAGAAGGTTTAACCAAGTGCAAGATTCAAGTAATCTCTGATAATCTCAGTTTGTCATCTACTTAAGCTTGTTTCCTTTTCATCTACGAAATGGATTTCTCGTACTTTGAAAGAAGCTTTATGGTTTCTCATGTTCGTTTGGATTCACTCCTTTCTGCTTTCTCAAGTTTTTTTGGATTCAGTCATGCCTCTTTTTACCACCTGTTAGACCAACAATGTTAACTTAGTGTTTCAGTTATTTCAGTTCTTCTTTTTAAGCTCTGTTTTGGCAATTTGAAGAAACCATCCCAAATCCCATAAAAAAGATCAACAAATTTTGGTTCACTTAAAACGAAAAAGAAAAGCATCAAATTGTAAATTAGGACGTCTGATTCTCGGATTTTTAAGTCTGAAAGTGCTAAAATAAAAATAGCATGTTGTTATTACCTAAACATGATATGAAACCTAAGATAAATAAAATGTCAAATAAAGAAGAAAACCCAAAATAATAACTCTCTGGTTATTGTTTCAAACTCTTTTTCACTCTGACCTCCAATACTTGGCCATTTCAAAGCCATTCCTGCCATTGCGATAGTCCCCAATGGTCATATCAATCTCAGCCTGAGAGTTCATCACAAAGGGACCATGCTGAACCACGGACTCGCCTATCGGTTCCCCTGCAATCAACAAGAACCTCAACGGCCTAGAGCTTGACGTATTCCACACGCTAACTTCATCCCCTGTTCCAAACACCACAACATTGTTTGCTTGTACTGTTGAAGAGTCCGAGGAGCTAAACACACCTTCATCGCCTTCAATTATGTAGGCAAAGGCAGTCCATGACGCTGGAACAGTCTGGTGGGTTTGAGCTCTTGGCTCGAGAGTAAAGTCAAGAAACATAATTGGTGTTTTTGTGTAGAATGGTGATTGAACTCCCATTGACTCTCCGGCTATGACTTTGACCTCTACTCCATCTTCCTCTGCTATTGGAATCTCTGAACTCGATATCTCTAGGTTTTTTGGCTCGATCCTGTCGAAAATCAAAGAACACAGATCTTAAAAAAACATTGAGAAAGCTATAGGAAAGTAAAATCTTTTTGAAGAATCTTCTCTAACATTTTGTATGTAGAAGGGAGGTTGATCCAAAGCTGTAAGCCGTTGTTGATTTCTTCTGCAGGCATTTCGGAATGAACGATCCCTCTTCCTGCTGTCGTCCACTGCAACAAAACCAGAGTCAAAAGGATGAAAACTGAAAATTAGGCTCAGATGATTCAATCGTCTTTTGGTCCGAAAGGTTTTTTTTTTTTTCTAGACCTGAACATCTCCTTCATAGATTGTACCCTTATGACCATTGAAGTCTTGGTGAATTATTCCTCCCTACGTAAAGTTAAAACCGTTTCGAAAGCGTGAGAGTCTTCAAATCAAGATTCAAGAATCGAAATTATGGAGAAGATGGAAGAGTCTTTCTCTCACCTGTAGCATGTATGTAACACTTTCAAAACCTGCACAGAGTTGCTCTAATTACATTAGAGGCATTACAGAAGAGAAAATTTTGTCTATATGTATAAGAATGAATAGGTGATTTGACCTCTGTGAGGATGATCTCTGAATCCACCTGGAGGCGAAACTGATCAAGAAACAGAGCAAAACAGAACAAAAAAAACAAATAATGGCTGCTTAGATTACTCTATTGATAATCTGAACATTAGAATAGTAACAATTAATTTATACTTCGGGGAAGTAAAAAAAGTATTACCGGAAAATTCTGCTAGCGACACGAACGGGTCCAATAAGCCATGGTCAGTCCTGAATTAACCCCTCAAGAAACAAACATATATGAAACTTGACGGTGAAGTCATTGGAATTTACTAAGAAAATTTGAGAAAGAAGAAAGAAAACTCACTTGGTGATGCCTTGTCTAATAACAGCACCATCACTTTCATTCTCAGAATTTGCAAATATCTTCTTAATTACCTGTCTCGATGGCATATTTGATGATTAAACTCTGTTATTGTCGTCTCTGTGGTGTAGCCAAAGATCAATAATAACACGAAGCTTTTTAATGGAGGATTTGATTATTACTTTATCATCAATACGAATTTATAAGTAGGGGATCGACCAAATCTGGTATCAATCTCCACAGCAAAAAAGGTAAAAAATCCAAAATTATGGGAAATTGAATGCTGCAGTACTAAGTAATTTAATAGCATGTCACCAATTTGTCATAAATGGAATTTTTCTATCAAATTTTCTCTTAATTTCTTCTTCCACTTCCCCTCTCAAAAATCAATCCCTGATTTCGGCTGTCCTAAAGAGTAAAGACGCAACATTTGGTAGGCAATGCAAGAGACTTCGCATAAGTAACTTAAGCCTTTTCTCCAAAAAACAAAAAAACAAAAAAACCAACGTTACTTAACATTAAAAAAGAAAACAACTTAACGTAACACCCAAAAAAATCATATGGGGTTTTGTAACTTTGTTTCAAACTCCAACTCCTTTCAATTGTGACCTTCCATTACTTAAGCCATTTCGAAGCCATTCTTTGCATTTTGATAATCTTCAATATACATATCGTTTATGATTCATTCAGCACAAACAGACCGTATCGAACCACAATTACCATGCAAAACCTAAACGTAGAATTAGTACAATCTAAATACACTACAGACAAACTTTTTTTTTTGTGGTTGGTTAAACAAAAGACACCAGTAAAAAAAGAAAAATAAGAAAAAAGAAAAGATTAAAAAAAAACGAACAACATAAGACACGCCGAATACGTGGACATGCACACGTGGGAACCCCGAAAATCTCCTCGTCAGTTACACGTGGAAACCCCGAATGCGGGAAAAATGTATTCTCTTTTTTTTTTTTTTTAACAAAACGAAATTCACCTACGCTTCCCCAATTTCTCGGCCACGACTGTAAAACCGCTAGATTTTCTCATGCGCTTCTCCTTTCGCAATCAATCTCCGATTACTGCTCTTCTCAGTGGGCTCTGATCTCTGAACCCAAGTAAGATTCCCGATTCTCCTTTTCTGGTTCTGTGATTCTTTAATTAGTGTCGGATTTTTACTTTTGTGTCTTTCTGTTTAATTCTTAACTGTCTTTTCTTTCTTCACGAACCCTTCTGATTTGAAAAAGACGACTTTGAAAGTTTGAACTGGTTTTACAAGATTCGTTGTCATTTGTCAGGTTGTTGCAAGAAGTGTTGATCTGTCTGTTCGGAAAGAATGCCTTCCGAAGACATCATCAGCAGTCTACCAGAAACACTTATTTGCCGTATCTTGTAGTTCCTCCCCACAAAAGAAGCTGCTTTAACGTCTCTTCTCTCCAGAAAATGGCGGTATCTCTTTGCTCTCTCACCAAATCTTGATTTCGATGATTCGGTATTTTGGCGTCCTGAATTGGCAAGCCAAAAAACCAATGAGATTCATCGAATCTTTACGGATTTCGTGGATAGAGTACTGTGTTTCCAGGGGATTTCTACTATAGACAAGTTCTCTCTCAAGTGTGGAAAAGGTGTAAATCCATTTAACGTCTCTCGTTGGATATTCAATGTGATGGTTCGTGGGGTATCGGATCTTGATTTACGCGTTACTGTTAATTGGGCTGATTCGATGCCTTCAATTTTCTTTGTGAGCAAGTCACTGGTTAGGCTTAGGATAGTGACTGAAGATGGTCCCGTCATTGATGTGGAAGATGTTTTTCTTCCAAAGCTCAAGACTCTGCATCTTGATTCACTTGTGTTTAAAGACGGTGACAACTACCTCGTCAAGGTTATCTCTGGCTGTCCTGTCCTTGAGGAATTGGTTATGATCGATCTAGGTTGGGATGATTATTGGAACCGCTCTGTGTCTTCCAAAACCCTCAAGAGACTGACTTTACGCTGTCAAGACTGGGATAATAATCCAGATAGTGTTTCATTTGATACCCCGAATCTTGTCTACTTTGAGTACTGTGATCATGTTGCGGACAAGTATGAAATAGTCAGTTTCGATTCGCTTGTTGAAGCTAAAATCGGCCTTCGAATGACACGTGAACAGCGTTCACATGGACATGGGGTCAGTAATGCGAGAGATCTTCTTATGCGGATAAGCAATGTTCACTTCCTTTACTTATTTGCCACCACTCTTGAGGTTTGTATCTTAATCCCACTCTTGAGATTTTTGTTTTTTATCATTTTCTAAGGCACGGCAGCCTGTAATTTGAATACCCTTTGTTTTAGTTAGTATTACATGGCTCACAAGTGAAGCTGATTTGGTTTTTGTTTCAAGTTCTAAATTTCTGCAGTAAACCAATACCGGTGTTCAAAAACCTGATTCATTTAACTGTTAAGACTCACAGGGACGTAGGATGGGGATCGTTGGCGGCTATACTCAAGAACAGTCCAAATCTCGAAACCCTGGTTTTTGAAGTAAACAACATATCCTTTTTACTGCATCTGCTAACACAGTTTTTTTTTTTTTTTTTTAAATTAGAATTTGAAGATGTCTACTTCCTCTATGATTCAGGAACTCCATCACAATAGTACATTTAAATGTGATGTTGTTGACGGGTGCCTATGCAAACCTTCAGAGAACATTCCTAGTTGCCTATCATCAAGTCCGGTGAAGGTTGTAAAAATACTCAAGTTTGGTGATATTTCTTTTTACTGTGATGACACGGAAAAGCAGATGAAGCTGGTCAAGTATTTCCTGGAGATAATGCCGAATCTTGAACGAATGATATTGTGTTACAATACACGTATTGATGAAGATTTGAAAAGCCAACTTGAGAGGCTAGTTTCTAGAGGAGCTTCACTGAAGTGCAGTGTCCAACTAATCTGTGATAACCTCAGCGAACCACTTTATCCTTTCTCCTTTTTCGACTAAATGGGAGATTATCATCCTTCTTATCTCAGAGAAGATTAGCAAAGCTTTTGTTCTAGTCTTTAGCATGAAATTATCTAAGTTTGGTCTTTGTTATGTAATCTGTGACTCTACGGCTTGTTAATATGCATTTTCACGTCTTTTTTTATATTGTGTGTTGTACACTTTCATGTTTTCTCAAGGGTTCCAAGTTGTTAATTGACAAAGCTTTGCTCTTGGTTTTAGCACAAAATTGTCTGCTTTGGTCTCTGTTCTGCAATCTGTGTTGTACACACATTCTATAAATCAAGCACGCTTGCACAGATAAAGAGTACTTACAGATCAAAATGCTGAACATGTTTATGTTTGTTTCGAGCTTTCTCTGAGCAGAATTTCGCTTTGTAGTCAAAGTTGTAGTACAATCTCGACTCTCGAGTCTAATCGACTTTATGAAAGATATGATTTGTTATAAGTTTCCCCTAACATTGATCTCATCTTGAATTTGAAACAAAGAAAACGAAACCCTAAAATCCATATGGTTTTTGTTTTACAAACACTGTTCACTGTGACCTCTCTAACTACTCTTAGCCATTTCAAACCCGTTCTTAGCATTCTGGTAGTCATCAAACGCCATATCGATCTCAGCCTGCGAATTCATCACAAACGGACCACACTGAACCACATTCTCACCAATCGGTTCCCCTGCAATCAACAGAAACCTCAACGAGCTCGAAGTTGACTTGTTCCACACGCTTACTAAATCCCCTGTTCCAAACACAACAACATGGTGCGCCGATATAGCAGAAGAGTTCAAGGAACCAAACACACCTTCATCGCCTTCTATAATGTATGCGAAAGCGGTCCAAGATTCTGGAACGGTCTGGTGGGTTTGAGATCCTGGCTTGAGGGTAAAGTCAAGGAACATGATTGGTGTTGTTGTGTAGAAAGGAGATTTGATTCCCATTGAATCTCCGGCTATGACTTTGACCTCTACTCCATCTTCTTCTGCTCTTGGAATCTTCGAACTCGACAGTTCAAGATTTTTTGGCTCGATCCTGTCGAAAACCAAAGAACATAGAGATTTAAAATTGGAATCTTGACAGGTAGTATCTTAGAGGATAATGTAAGAGTTTGTTTCTTTTACATTCTGTGAATGGAAGGGAGGTTGATCCAAAGCTGTAATCCATTGTTGACTTCTTGTTCTGGAAATTCAGAATGAATGATTCCTCTTCCTGCTGTCATCCACTGTCAAATCAAAATCTAAATTGAGTAAAACCAGAAAACTCTGAGAGGTTTTGATTTTTTTGTTCTTTTCTTGTGTTCTGTTTTTTTTTTTTCTTCACCTGAACATCTCCGGCTTGGATTGTGCTTTTATGACCTCTGAGATCTTTGTGAATGATACCTCCCTGCATAATTTGAAAGCATTTCTAAAGCATGAGAATCTTTGATACAAGGCTCAAGAATCAAGTCTATGCAGAAGATGGAATAGTCTTTCTTTCACCTGTAGCATGTATGTAACACTTTCAAAACCTGCACAAAGTTGACCAATTACATGAGACCAGGCTTTGAGTATATATATATATATATATATATATGGGTGTGTAAGAAGGTATCGGTGATATTGACCTCGGTGAGGATGATCTGGGAATCCAGCTGAAAGCGAAACTGATCAAGAAACAGAGAAAAACAGAACAAATCAATCTCTGCTTTTTTAGATTATCCTTTAAAACAAGTATGTGAAGATGAAAAATACAAATTTGGGGAAGGAAGAAATTTACAGGAAAATTCAACTAGCAATACGAAAGGGTCCAACAACTCCCGGTCAATCCTGAATTAACCCCACAAGAAAACTTGAAGGTGAAGCAATTGGATTTTCCTGATAAAATAAATGTATGAGAAAGAAATAAAGAAGAAGAAGAAAACTCACTCTGTGATGACATTTCTAACGACAGTGCCTTCACCTTCCTTCTGAAGCTTTGCTAACACTTTCTTGATTACTATTCTCTGTACGCTATTACTGTCAGAAGAACCAGACATGTTGATGACGATGATAACAAACTCTTCTTCTTCTTTTCAAAATGTATTTATTTTTCTTCGTTTATGAATAGATCAAAAAAATCGTTATGGAGGTTAATGGAGGAAGTCAGTTCTTTGTATTTGGTTTGTGGCGTGTTTGTATATATATATATATATATATGGTTTGGATGTTTTTTTTTTTCGTTTTTGCGTGTGTGAATTGAAGGTCCCATGGATCTTTGTTATGGACCAACGGTGATTATTGCTGAATAATTCATAGTTATACTGAAGGATAGAATTTTCGAAAATTTTCAAGCATCAAAATGTAATTCCACAAAATATTAATCAAGTTAATTTTCACGTTTTTAATATTTTTTACTATTCAATCAATTTTTTGACAAATAAAGTTTATCCTCCAGTCAATTGTTTGATTATTCGGTTATTTACTTATTTGATTACATATTCGATATATATTAATCAAGGCGTATGATTTTTATTTTAAAGTTAAAATCGTCAATGATGATTAAACAAATAAATTATTCATCCAGATGATAAAACATACTTCATAAAATAATGGTTTGGGTCACAGAGAATTACAGATTACGAAATACGTATGCTAAAAGTTTTATATGTTGTTTAATCTTGAAGACCAGCTGGAAAATCCAAAAATAGTTACGTTCACACTATAAAATGATTCTCCAAGTGCATGTATACACTGTGCAGTATATATAATACACAGATGCAATGTAACATTTACGTCATACGAGTGTGAATATGAAAATCGTCGCGCAGTATAATACACCGGGATTTTCAGTTTATTTCGATATGTGACAAACCAGAAAAGAAAGCGATATTTTCGATATTGCCGTAAAAAAAACTGAAAATGTTAAAGGTAGTTTCAAAAGAATTATATGCTTCTTACACTTTCTCAAAAAAAAGAAAAAAGAAGATTATGCTTCGTCATCGTTATATTTGCTCTAACATTCACTCATTCACTTTTCACGCTCTGGATGTAGCAATGATTAGGCCGTCAAATTATTTTGCAAGTCAACTGTTTGAGATTAAAAGTCTAAACGATATTGCGAAATAATGATTCATTCACACCATTTTTTTTTTCTTATCACTTTCTATGCAATATATGTAAAATTAGGTTTTACGATGGTCAGGTGTAGACCCGTGTAAGACAATAGGTATAAGGAAAAAAATTATTTATCTAAAAATTTGTACTCTGGAAGTGCCGACAATGTTTTGACCACAATTAAATGTTTTTTCATTGAGTGTTCACACTACATCTAAATATATTGATATAAAACAATGTATTTCAAACGACTCAAACCTAACTTTCCGATTAATTGAAACGAATAATGATAATTAAAGAAAAAATGTTCGTTGTCATACGTTTAATAAGAAAAGTGGCTGCTTAACCAGCTAATAAGGACAATTTTACTATTCTTCATTGCCAGGCTCTAAAAAGACTAATATTGAATATTGTTCAACCTATAGATAAATCGCATGTGCAGTTGTTGTAGATATATGTATAAAAATAAAATATGGTGGATGATTCGGCTAAAAAAATATATATATATATATATGGTGGATGATTTGATGTCCCCTCCAAGTATGAACCTCCGCATTTTATTCAAAGGATATATACGAAACATTAAATTTAAAGATATGAATAATTTCAAGATGATTTAAAAGATCTTAGATCTTTTGAGTTTTTCCATATTGATCTTGAACTTATTGTGGTTGAATTGAACGGAAACACTAAAAGCAAGCAATGAGAACATATTTATACTCTCTATGTGCTCTAATGGGACCATATGTATATTCCAAACTAAAATAGGACACAACTTCTTTACTTAAGATATTGATATTTATTGATTCTTGTTGTGTGGAAAGGTGAGAACAAAAGAAGATTTCACATCTAGGGTGTACTGAATCTAGTTTAATGAAAAAGTTCCAAAGTCAATACTTTCAGAAGCTCTTTTGTTGGTGCTTCCACCATTTCCTAGAGCTGTGGCTTCTTCTTTCCCACTTATTACCCTCTCTATCACACATGATCCCAAGAATACACATCGATAGAGAGAGGGAGAGATGTGTGTAATTGTGTGAATATATATATATGAGAGAGATGATGTGAGCATAGTTGTACTTTGATTTGACTTTATTTAACATCTTCTGTTATCCAAAATAGAGTCAATGGCCTACCATTTATACCTGTTCCTCTAATTTGGCCCAATAACACTAACCCAACATTGTTTTGTTTCTCACAAATTAGGTTCATGATTGACTTTCTTTGTGAGAGGGAAAGAGAGAAAGCCATTCGTTCACACCATTTACAAGATGCAGTATCACATGTTGAACCCTCTGAAGTGCAACAGCTTGAGAGAAACAGAGATTTTTTTTTATTTTCTCTTCCACTCAATCGAGAAACAACAAGCTAACAATTACTTGTATGACAAGATAGGTCTCCATATAACATTTTACGCAACAACAGGAGATACAAAGCAAAACGTGAACTCAACTTTCTCACAACAAAAACATAGACACACAAGGATGCCTAGCAGCAAATTACAAACAACAGAAACAAGAGGATATTGATTTGAGTTTTCAGATATTTTTAGTAACTACAGATACTTGTAGTTAAGAGACACATTCATAGCCTCCAAATGGTAAAAGTGGCATGACCGCATGAGTGATTCCAAAAGGAGTTGAGAAACCAGAAAGGTTCTTCTAGAGGAGCAGTTTCCCAAATTTCGTCGTTAAGGAATTGGGAACAGTACTCGTAAAGCTGATTTTATCAGAGATAACTTGGATCGTGCACTTGCGTGAAGCTACTTTCTCAAGCTTCTGAAGTCGGCTTGATACTTCAGCCAGATGATCATTGATCGGTGAATTGTAGTATATCATGAGTTGTTCAAGATTCGGCAATTTCTTCAAGAAATGCTTGATATTCTTGAACTGATTCTCCATCTCCAATTCGTCATCATCTGAGTCATAGGCTTCTCCAAAATTCAATATCGTTAGAGACTTCACCGGACATTCTGATAGGGAAGAAGGACTTCTTTTAATTTTCTTACACAAACACACATCCCCACATCAATTTGTAATACTGTGATGGAGCCCCTAAAAACATGCATAAAAGAAACATCTCAAACACTATTAATGTAAAATGAGTCAACAGAATCCTTTACCAAGGGGTTTGATTTGTTTACTTGGAAGACAATGTTTTCAAGGTTTGGAGAATTCCTGAGAAGATCTGGCAATGATTCCCATCCTACTAACGGGCTATGTGAGTCAATATATAGATGAGTCAACTTGTTGAATACCGGTATCGCTTCACAGCAGTGGTTAAGTGTCTGGATCAAAACAACAAGATTATCACTCATTTCCAAAAAAACTAAAAACCCTTAAAAGTAATGTAATGTTAGATTCACATACCTCAAGGGTTCTGTAAGATATGTAAAGGGTCTTCACATTGCATATTCCCATAATATTTGTTTCCTCATCACCAAATGATTCAATTCTCACATTTCCCTTTTGTTCTTCTGTAATCCGAATATCGATATGAGCTTCAACCAGTCAAACGAAATTAACTATTGGATACTTGAGCGCAAGATAATCAGAATATTCCAAGTAGACAACATTTGGAGTATCAAATGATACACTCTTGGGATTTTTATAAAAGCTTGAAACTACATAGGATTAGTCTTTTGAGTGTTTTGGAAGACACAGAGCATGACTCCCAATAACCCCACCTGAGATTAGGCAAACCTAATTCCTCAAGCACGGGACAACCAGAAAGAAGCTTTGGAAACCCCATCGCATCCTCTTCAAACATAAATGAATCTAGATGCAGAGTCTTGAGCTTTGGAAGACAAACCTTTTTCAGTTGACGACTAGGACCACCTTCAGGTCCTATTTTCAGCCTAACCAGTGACTTGCTCTTAAAAATCTTAGAAGGCAACGGAGAATAAATTTCAGGAGAGAAATGTAGATCAAGATCTGATACACCACGTTCCAACACCTTTGATATCCAAGAGGAGACTTTACTTCCCCACCCCCAGATATCTTTTCCACTTTTTAGAGAGAACTTGTTGAGTACACAATCTTTCCCCAATTCCAATACTCTATCCACAAATTTTGCGAAACTCGTGGGATCCAGAGAGGAAGAGTCATCGAAATCAAGATCTGGTACATAAGCAAACAGATACCTCCACCTTCTTGCGAGAATTGATGTCGAACCAGCTTCTTTTGTAGACAGATTGGACAAGATTTGACAAAGAACACTGTCGTGTAAAGCGCTAATAAAATCTTTGGAACAATCATCCATGTCTTTTTTAGACAGACCTGAACAATATATCCAACAAGAGGATTTCAGCAGATGAACTCAAAACGTAGTCCAAATTAGTTTCAAGGTCTTTTTCTTTACACAATCGGAATCGTAAGGTTCGCTTAGGACTCACGAGGAGAAAAAATCAGGTTCCTATGGGAACACTACAGGATTAAAAGAAGAGATGAGAAAACTTACTTGCTTTAGGTGTGAAAGTTGAGCCCATCAAAATCACCCTACAACTTCAAAGTGACGGGTGCGAGTTCATTGGGAAAGTGGAACAAGAAAATTAGGAGTTTTATATTGATGCACTCTTGGCCAAAAGTGGTGTAGCAATTTGGTAATAGAAAACGTTTTGAAAACATTATAAAAGCGAAAGCTATGAAAATGCGCATTTACCGTCCAAGACTACAAAAATGCGCATTCACATACTAAAAGACATTGCTTTTGCTGCCTTTCCTTAAAAATATATATATATTTTTTTTTTGAAAAAGGGCTCTTTCCTTAAACATATTTGCTAATAGTTTCTTCTTGTTTAGTGAAAAGAAGTTTTCACTTTCAACATTACCCTCTGTCGCAGAAACCCATAATTCAATACACACTACCACTGACACACATTTAGAATGAGAGATGCACATGTCTGCCTTTACAAAAGGGGAGAGATGTGTGAATCATATACTGTAACATGTAGAGAAAAAGTTGTCAAATTTTGGAAAGTGAAATAAGATTTATCAAATAAGGATGATAAACGAGGTTTTACGAGATAGTTTTAAACAACATCCATTAGCTTCCAAATAGTAAAAAGGGTATAACCCTTATTTGAGTTTGAGAAACCGGAAAACTACTTTTAGATGATCAGTGCAAATCCAGTCGATAAGGAGATGGGAAAAGTAATCGATAAGCTGAGGTTATCAGAGATTACTTGGATCTTGCACTTGAGTGAAGCAACTCCAGGAAGCATCTGAAGTTGGCTAGATAAGTGAACCATATCAACTTCGATTGATGTGTTGTAGTAAATCGTCAGTTCTTCAAGATTTGGCATTTTCGCCAAGAAATGCTTAATCTGCTTCATCTCCATCTCATCATCACCAGTTTCTCCAAATATCATTATCTTTATAAACTTCACCCGACTTGATGATAGAGAACAAGGATTACTATCCAAACCTTGGCATACGCACACATCCCCACATCTATCCGTAGCTTTGTGAAGGAGTCCCTAAAAGATAAAGGATAACATCTCAAACTTTACTGTAAAATGCGTCAACAGATTCTTTTTCCATGGAATGATTTGTTTACCTGGAAGACAAGGGTTTCAAGATTTGGACAATTCTTCAGCAGACCTGGCAATGTATCCCATCCTACTTCCGGATTACTCTCAATAGTTAAATGAGTCAAGTTGTTGAATATCGGTATCACTTCACAGCAAAGATTAAGTGTCTGAAACAAAACAAGAATCAACGAGATTATCACTCATTTCCAATCACTAGTTAAGCAAAACCCTTAAGTAATGTTAGATTCACATACCTCAAGAGTGTCAAAAGATAAGTGAAGGATCTTCACATTGCTTATTCCCATAAGAAGCCTTTTTGCGTTACCAACCATCTCTGTTTCCTCATCACCATCCGATGCATTTCTCACATTTGATCTCTGATCTTCTGTAATCCGAAAACTGATACTAGCTTCAACTAGCGAATCAAGATTCAATTTTGGATACTTGTGCGCAATATAATCTGAATATTCTAAGTGGACAACATTCGGAGTATCAAATGACACACTCTTCGGACTTTTACCATAGTCTGTACAACATAGCCTTAGTCTCTTGAGGGTTTTGGAAGCCACAGAGCAAGAATCCCAATAAACCCACGCAAGATTACGCAAACCTAATTCCTCAAGCACGGGACAACCAGAAAGAAGCTTTGCAAACCCAATCTCACCATCTTCAAACACAACTGAATCCAGATTCAGAGTCTTAAGCTTTGGGAGACAAACATTTCTCAGCTTAACTCTGGGACCATCTTCAGGTCCTATTTTCAGCCTAACAAGTGTCTTACTGGCAAAAACCTTTGAGGGCAACCAATAAACCAATGCGGGAGAGACATGTAACACAAGATCCGATACACCATGTCTTAGCACATTTGATATCCAAGGGAAGACGTCTTCATCCAAAATACCATCTCCACATTTTAGAGAGAACTTGTTAACATGATCTTTCCCTCGCAATTCCAATACTCTATCCACAAAATCTATAAAACTCGCCTTGTCTTGGGGATGCAGAGAGAATACGTCATCGAATTCAAGATCTGGTACAAGGGCAAACAGATACCTCCACCTTTTTGAGAGAAGTGATGTCAAAGCAGCTTCTTTTGTAGACAAGTTGGACAAGATTTGGCAAAGAAGATTGTCTGGTAAACCGTTGATTACATCTTTGGAACAATCATCCATATTTTTCTGAGACAGATCAGCAATTACAAACCTGAACAATATACCCAATAGGAGGATTTCAGAAGCTAAACTCAAAGTACACTGTCCTAAACTCCAAACTAGTTTCAAAGTCTTTTCCTTTACACAATCGGAATCGTAAGGTTCGGTTAGGAATCATGAGGGGAAAAATAACTAGATCAGAAAACTTACCTGCGTTGGATGTGGAAGCAGAGTCCATCAAAATAAATCTGCAAATTCAATCAGACTGTGGTGGATAAAGAAAACAAGGATTTTTATGTAATTCCTGGACAGTGATTTACAATTTGGTATTAAAAATGAATATTATATTCACTTTGGTTCCTTCACTAAAAGATATTGTTGATAATGATTCTTGTTCGGTGAAATGAAGAAGAAGTCACTTTCAAACGTATTGACTTTTATTTAATGGAACATTTCAAAATTGAATATTAAATCATACCGGTTGGTTAAACCACATAAAACTGCGTAACAAAACCACATTTATATCTGATCATCTGCGAAACCCAAGCCAAATTTCATTAATCATAATTTGATCAAGAAGCGCCGTGATCTAATCAAGTAATTAATAACAGACTAACAGTGACTTCTTCAAAAGTTAGGTTATTAACCAGTCATTAAACTGATAAACACATTATGACAAGGACACAGACAAAGCATAATACAAAAAGTCTTTTAAACAACATACGCAACATAAGCTTGCTTAGAGTTTAAAATGCAAACTATTTTTACAAAAAACTTGCAGCAAATCCAATGGCTTCCAAATTGGTAAAAGAGGTAGGTGACAGAACAGAGACTAAACTACATATCTGCTAGTGTTGTTCAAGCTAAAGGCTAAAACTAACAACCAAGGTTTTGCTAATCGGCTCTGAGATGATGCAGGATGGTCTTCAAACCGGGAAGGTGTTTTTGAAGAAGACGAGTCCACCACTTCTTCTCGATGAGGAAGAGTGCACAATAGTTGAGAAGCTGATGTTATCAGAGATTACTTGGATATTGCATTTGGGTGAGGCTACTTTTTCAAGCATCTGAAATTGAGTTGATACTATTTTCAGATCGACATCAAATGGAGTATCGTAGTATAATATCACTTGTTCAAGATTCGGCATTGTCTCCAAGAAGTACTTGATCATCTCCGTCTGCTTCTCAAAGTCATCTGCGTAAGGGATTTCCCCAAACTTGAATACCTTCAAGCATCTTCACCGGACTTGATGATATGCAAATAGGAGTGCCTTCCCAAGGTTTGCAAATACAACAGCCATTATAGTCCCAGCATTTGTTTGTATCTCTGCAACTGAATTCCTCAATTTGACAATTATTTGTATCTTTGTAATGGAGTCCCTGCAAAATAATCAAGGAAACAGATTTTCAGAATTTAACTGTGCTATGAAAACAAAAAAAAGTGTCAGCTGATGAAGGAAAATGACAAGTGTTGGTACTTCGAAAGTGAGGGTTTCAAGATTTGCAGAATTCTCGAGAATATCCAGCAATGATTCCCATCTATCATCTTGGTGGGTCTCAATAGTTAAATGCATCAGGTTGTTGAAGACTGGTATTTTGTTACAGCGATAATTAAGTACCTGTAAGAAAAACCAAATCATCACACTCATTTGCCATCACTAACTCAAAAACCTCTTGCGCAATGTTACAATAACATACCTTAAGAGTCTCAAATGATAGGTAAAGGATCTTAACATTGCTAATTCCTGTAAGAAAATCTGCCGCATTTTCGATCTTACGACGTTTCTTTCCAAGACGGAGGCTAGCTTCAACAAGAGAATCAAGTTTCACTTCTGGATACTTGACCGCAACAGCATCAGTATACATTAAATAGAGATTGGGAGTATCAAATGAAATACTGTTTGGATTCTCATCAAATCGGCTGTGGTGATAATCAATTGTCAGTTGGGTTAAACACAGAGCAACGTTCCCAAAGTTTCCACCTCACCTCAACCATAACTAACTCCTCAAGCAAATGACAACCAGAAATCAGCTTAGCAAACGCAGCGCCACTCTTTTCGAACGTAACATCAAGAAAATGCAAAGTCTTGAGCTTTGGAAGAAAAAATTCTTCCACGTCAATGGTGAGATCACCTGCACCTTCTACTTTCAGCCTAACCAATGTCTTGACCATCAAGACCTTTGGAGGCAGCAGATAATTTAAAGCCTTAAAGATGTACAAATCAAGATCTATGACACCACGCTCCAACACCTTGAGTATCCAGCTATTGACACGAGATGGATCCCGACCAGTTCTACACCTTAAAGAGAATTTTTCTAACGTAGCATTCCCTTGCAAAGCCATAACTCTATCCACAAAAACCTTAAAACTTGTACGCATCTGTAGCCTTTTCCGTCTACCCATTTTAGGATAATCATAGATGGAGTTATCCAAATCTAGAATTGGTACAAAAGCCAACAGATTCCTCCACCTTTTCGAGAGAGCTGAAGTCAAAGCAGCATCTTTTGTGGAGAGGAAGGACAAAATGTGGCAAACAAGAGCGTCTGGTAGACTGCTGATCAAATCGTTGGAACCAAAATCAATCTTTTTCGAGTTCATTGAGATAAATCAAGAGTTAAGACCTGGAAGATGATGTGAGCTTGTGTACGTAAGCCGATGAGAAGATTTTGATAGAATCAAGATCTATTCAGATTGAGGAGACGAGAAATGAAGAAGAGAAGAGAAGAGAAGAGAGTGAGAGTGGAGAAAGAAAGTCGGCGAGAGAAGAGGAATAGATATAAAGTTGTCTAAATTTGCAGAAGCCAATAACCCTAAAAGGGAACTCAACTTAAATACAATTGTTCTCATCAAAACGAACGACAATACCAATCTCAATTTAGTACATAAAACGGGTTCTGTTGAAACATACAGTAGTTTTCAATTTGATTTGAGTTATGAAGAGAAAGAAGGACAAACGTTTCAACACAACTGAAACAAAAACAACACAGAAACTTTTAAGATTTGCAGCTTCAAAAAGGACAAGAGCATCAAACACCGGTCTTTAAACCAAGATGCTAAACAGAGAACAAACTACAGAAACAAAGGAGTTTAGATCAAAGCCAGGAATATTCATCTTCATCTTCTGAAGGATACCAGGAATATTCTTTTTTTGGAGGAGTAGTAGGCCATGACTTTTCTTCTTCTGGAGGAGCAGTAGACCATTTCATTGTCAAGGAACAAGGCACAGTAGATGACAAACTAAGATTCTGAGAGATTACGTGGATCTTGCACTTTGCTGAGGCTATTCCATTAATCTTCTGAAGCTTCTTGGATAATTCTAACACAGACGGGTCATATGATGTATTGTAGTATACCATCAACTGTTCAAGACACGGCATTTTCTTCAAGAAATGCTTCATCTGCTCCATTTCCATCATGTCCTCATCGTAGTCTTCACACATTAATATTTTTACCACCTTCACCGGAGAAGATGAAAGGCAAGAAGGATGCTTCGGACGTTTACAGCAGCACATGTCCCCACATCCCTTGTTAAGTTTGTGGACAAGACCCTGGAGAAGCATAAGAGAAAGGTTTCAAACTTGGATTTGTTTTCATTTGACTGATAAACAAAGATGTTTTTAATGGGTTTTTTTTATTATACCTTTAAAACAAGGGTTTCTAGACTGGGACAATTCTTGAGCAGACCTGGCAGTGAATCCCATCCAATTTCCGAGTTACTCTCAATCGTTAGTTGAATCAGGTTGTTGAATACCGGCATTGCTTTACAGCAATAAGTAAGTACCTGAAACAACAACAAAAAACCAAATCAACGCACTTGTGATCACTAACTGAAGCCATTATAACCAATGTTTACACTAACTGAAGTAAGGATATTAGAATTTAAGGTTGTTTGCTTTCTTAATCTTTCCAAGTATTAGTTGAAAATTAGGGCTTAGATGGGAATTGGCATACAAACCTCAAGAGCTTTGGCAGATAAATAGAGGATCTTAACATTGCATATTCCCATAAGAAACTCCGTTGCATTACCAACCATCTCTTTCTCCTCATCACCTTCCGAGAAATAGCTGTCTTCTGAAAAGTTTGCATCTCCACTCTGATCTTCTGTGAGTCGAATGCCGATATGAGCTTCAACAAGCGAACTGAAATTCACTTTCGGATACTTGTCCGCAGTACTGTCAGAATATTCCAAGTATTCAAGGTTTGGAGTATCAAATGAGACGCTCTTTGGATTTTCATAAGTGTCCTCAGAGAAAAAAGTTAGTCTCTTAAGGGTTTTGACAAGCACAGAGCAAAACTTCCAATCTTCCCACCCGATATTCATCATAACTAGTTCCTCAAGCACGGGACAGCCAGCAAGAAGCTTTACAAACCCAAAACCTCTCTCTTCAAAGACAACTGAATCAATATCGAGAGTCTTAAGCATTGGAAGAAACACATTTTTCACATCGATACTGAAACTGAGATCATCTGCCGGTCCTAATTTCAGCCTAACCAGTGTCTTGCTAACAAAGATCTTGGGAGGCAAAGGATATTCCGAGAGGCTTAGATCGAGTTCTGAAACACCGCGTCTCAAGACATTGAGTATCCAACCATTGACACGATCTGGATCAGGATAATCAGAACAGTTTAGAGAGAATTTGCTTAACGGAGCATTCCCTTGCAAAGCCAATACTCTATCCACAAATTCCATAAAGCTTGTACTATTCTCATCATCACCGCTTTCAAAATCAAGATTTGTTACTGACGCAAACAAAAAACGCCACCTTTTAGCAAGAACCGATGTTGAAACTGCTTCTTTTGTGGGAAGGAAAGACAAGATGTGGGAAATCAGAGGATTTGGCAGACCGCTGATTATATCTCTTGAGACAAAACCCATCTCTTGAACAGAAGATCAACACTTACAACCTAAACAATTACAAGAACTATAGAAATTTCAGAATAACGCAAAACATTCCAAATAAGACAATTTTAGAATGGCAAAACAGTTCCAATGTATTGTCTTTTTACACAACCGTAATATTCCCTTAAGATTCCAAACTGGAGAGAAAGCTAATTGCTGGATAACAGTTACAAACAGTCACTGCGTGAAGACAAGGATCAGAAGAAGAAATGATGAAACTTACTTGGTGCCCCCATCATAAAAATCACCAGATTGTCGAGTACTTTGTGAGTGGGACGAAACGTTAAAATGAAAATTAGGGTTTATCGTTGCCGCTAGTGAGAGAGAGCAATGTGGCGGGATGGGTGAATTCCAATGCTAAACGACAACGTATATGTGGTGAGAGGTTCCAATAACCGGTCTCCAATTTTGGTTCTTAAATTTAGTAAAATTACATAATACGTCAACAATTTTCTCCTAATTATACGCAAATTATCATAATCTATCCTTCCTTTTTTTTGTAAGCTGTTTTGGCTAAAAGCACAACTATCAAGTACAATTATTAAAAAAATTACTTTTCTTTAAAAATATTATTTAATATATAAATTAAATTTATTTTAACCAATCATCAAAAAATTACATAATCTAATTGGTCGCACAATATTCAATATAGATAAAAGTTACATAAAAATGTGAAAACAACTTACATTGTAAAACAAATAAACCTTTAAAACAGTTTATAAAAAACAGAGAGAGTATTATGATATAAAAACTCAGAGTTGCGAGACCGGTTAATGGACAAAGACAAGAGCATACTGTATAAAAAAAGTCATTTTAAACACCGAAAACCAGAGAAGCTTGCTTGACGCTTTAGACCTCGCAGCAAAGTCTACAAAAACTTGCGCATACCGAGATAATACATATTGAGAAACTAAAAGAGGAAGAGACCAGACTAAAACTAACAACCAAGGTTTTGTTAATCGACTCTGAGATGATGCAGGATGGTCTTCAAACCGGGAAGGTGTTTTTGAAGAAGACGAGTCCACTTCTTGTCGATGAGGAAGAGTGCACATTAGTTGAGAAGCTGATGTTATCAGAGATTACTTGGATCTTGCATTTGGTTGAGGCAACTTTTTCAAGCATCTGAAATTGAGTTGATACGATTCTCAGATCGAAATCAATTGGAGTATCGTAGTATAATATCACTTGTTCAAGATTCGGCATCGTTTCCACGAAGTACTTGATCAGATCCATCTGCTTATCCATGTCATCTTTGTAATTAGTGATTTCTCCAAACTTCAATACCTTTAGCATCTTCACCGGACTTGATGATAGCCAACTAGGAGTGCCATACCAAGGCTTGCACACACACCTGTCCGCATCTTTCTCCCAACATTTGTTTGTATCTTTGAAACGGTAATCCTCGTCCATACATTGATTTGTATCTCCGTAATGGAGTCCCTGAAGTATAATAAAGAAAACGTTTTTTTAGAGAGTCTGTATGACAAAAAAAGGGTCAGCTGACGCAGGAAAAGGATATCTGCTGGTACTTCGAAGACGAGTGTTTCTAGATTTGGACAATTCTTGAGTAGATTCGGCAATGCTTCCCATTCCACGTCTTGGTCAGTCTCAATTGTTAAATGAATCAGGTTATTGAAGACTGGTTTTGGTGCTTTACAGCAGAAAATAAGGACCTGAAAATGAAAAAGAAAAAATGGTATTTGAGTTCTACGTTAGAATTAATGGCTGAGAAGCCATAAATTAGGAAAAAAAAATCTCTTGTGCCACAAATGAGTCTGAGTGCCATAATAGGTGTGATATGCCCATTTTACCCTTAATGAAGGGAGATGATGGCATTCTTGAATTGTGATGAATTTTGGTGTTTTTTTTAAAAAATCGAGTTAACTGAAAATTGAAAATTGAAATCGAAAAACCAAACCAACAAATCAATTTCGGGTATTATCAGAATTTCTGGGTATATTGAACCGAAAATTAGGGAAATCAAAATCTCCATCCCGCGTATGTAAACCCTAAAAGCTCAAACGAAAACCTTAAACCCAGATATCGATCGATCTGCTCGGATCTTGTAAACTGTTGCTTATTTTCGTTCGTAGCGGTGCGCCGGCATCCTCTGAAGTCGGGTTATTCTCCGTAACTCATTTCTCCTCCGCCATTTCGCTTTAAGGTGAACATATTCTGTATTTTGGGGATTTTTCAATTTTTCAATCGATTTGTCAATTTCGGTTTGTTTAGGTTGCACATTGGATAGTTTAGTTACTTATATAGGTTGATTTAGTTTTCTCTGTGTTAAAATGTAACGTGGTGCGGTAGAATCGATTTGAATCGAGCTGAATCGTACAAATAGTGAATCTGTGGGAAACGGGACAACTGGTACAATTGGTAACTGAATGAAATGGGACAACTGGTACAATAGGGATAACTTAATGAATTAGGAGAAGTGGTATAATTGGGATAACTAAATGAAAGGGGACAACTGGTATAATTGGGATAACTGAATGAAATTGGACAACTGGTACAATTGGGATAACTGAATGAGATATGTGGGACAACTGGTACAATTAAGAAAACTGAATGAAATGGGACAACTGGTACAATTAGGATAACTGAATGAGATATGTGGGACAACTGGTACAATTGGGAAAACTGAATGAAATGGGACAACTGGTACAATTGGGATAACTTAAAGAGATATGTGGGACAACTGGTACAATTGGTATAACTGTGAGTAAATTTTAATTTTCTGTAAATCGTAAAAGCCTTTTTTTTTTGTATTTATGAACAGAAGAGGATGAGCGGCCACACAAACATACATTTTGAGTATGGAGGATGTTATTTTAAGGAAAGAGAAGAGTTTAAATGGATTTCAAGGAGTTCCATCTATGCTATATCATTTAAAAAATCTATCGACGAGGTAACCTATTCGATGGTTGTAGATGGTATATGCAAGAAGATTGGGATAAACGATAGTACAAAGAAGCTCAAGTTAAGCTACATTCCATTGGTAGCTAAGCCACGCAATGAGTCACGTATTGTTGATGATGGTGATGTGTATGTCTATCTAACAACTCTGGACAAAGATGGACTTAGATCTGTGTTGAATGTGGAGATAATGGAAGATCAGAGTGATGAGCTAGCAACAGGGGATAATATGCTTGATATTAAGGAAGGGATGACTACTTACACACCGGTAGAAGCAGGGAAAGAACAGAATGAACTTGCTATTGTGGTCGTGGCAGAGACTGAGAAACAGATGGTGATCGATGATGTTGTTTCAAAACCGGATGATCATGCACATGTAGAGCCTGCAGAGTATATTATGGATGAGGATGATCACGTAGAGCCTGCAGGGCGAGTAGAACCAACTCAGCAGTTTGTTATTGAATGGGATGATGGTGCTGGTTTTGAGAAACATCAAGAATTTAGGTCGAAAGAGGCGTTGCGAGTATTGGTTGACAGAGCTTCGCATAAGGGATGTTTTGAGGTTAAAACTGTGAAGTCTGATCCTGGGCGACTCATTCTAAAATGCCGTCAAGCTGAACATGGTTGTTCATGGTATTTACATGCTGTAAGAATGAAGGATTCAACTTATTTCAGCCTTCGAGTTTACAGGAATAAGCATTGTTGCTCTCGGGTCCTTACCAGCACACTTGAGAATAAAAGAAAAGGCACTCCACAAGTAGTAGCAGATGTTTTGCGTGCTTCGTATCCAGGTGTAGTGGATACACCCGCTCCTAGAAATATAGTAAAGGTTGTTCAAACTGAAGCTCATGTGAATGTGTCGTACTCTACTGCATTGAGAGGGAAAAAACTCGCTATTAGTCAAGTGAGGGGTAGTCCGGCTGAGAGCTTTCAAAGATTGCATTCTTATTTGTACATGCTGAAGCTGGTGAACCCCGGTACAGTGACGAGCGTGGAAGTGGATGCTAATAATAAGTTCAAGTATCTTTTTGTGGCTTTGGGTCCCAGCATTGAAGGGTTTAGATCAATGAGAAAAGTCATAGTTGTGGATGCAACATTTCTTAAGAATGTTTATGGTGGTATGCTTGTATTTGCCACAGCTCAGGATCCTAATCATCACCATTATCCCATTGCAATGGGTGTAATCGATAGTGAGAAAGATGCTAGTTGGAGGTGGTTTTTAGAGATGCTCAAAACTGTTATACCAGATAATCCTGAGATTGTTTTTATGAGTGACAGACACACAAGCATAGCAAAGGCAGTGCAAGAGGTGTACCCTCAGTCTCAGCATGGATTTTGTGTTTGGCACCTGTCTCGGAATGTGAGGGTTAAAGCAGCCAATGGTTGGAAAGATTTGTGCTCAAAAAAATTCATTGACTGCGCTCACAAGTACACCGAAAGTGAGTTTCTAAGTGCATATACCGAATTTGGTAGAATGTTTCCCAAAGCTGCGGAGTACTTAGAGAATGGTCTTCCTCTCGAGAAATGGGCAAGGTGCTACTTCAAAGAAGACAAGTATAACTTGGACACAAGCAACGCCTGTGAATCTATGAACAGTGTCTTCAAGAAAGCTAGAAAGTATGCATTATTGCCGTTGATTGATGCGTATATTGAAAAAGTGTCTGAGTGGTTCAACAGGCATAGGGAAGACATTGCTGGTGCATCGTATTCAAAGAAATTGGTGCCATATGTGGAAAATCAGTTGCATATCCAATGTGCAATAGCGACAGCGTTAACTGTGACTGAGCTAAATGTTCCTGAGCTTGAGTACAGTGTGGTTGGACTTGATGGGAAGAGCTATCTGGTCAATTTGGTAACAAAAAGTTGTGAGTGTCGGATGTTTGATATAGATAAGATTCCATGTGTGCATGCAATAACCGCAACCATTGCAATGATGCGGACGACATCTAGAAGAAGAGACATACACAATTTCGATTTATGCTCGAGGTACTACTTGATTGATACTTGGGCGTTGGCTTATTGCCGAACCATCTATATGGTGCCGCATCATTCAACTTGGATTATTCCTGAGGAGGTTGGAAATTTAGTTGTTTACCCACCAGACTACACCAAAAAATCAGGAAGAAAGAAGGAGAAGCGGTTTCCTTCCACCGGAGAAGCTCGCAGGAGTCAGAAGGCCAACCCAAACACAAACATTGGCCGTTGGTTTGAACCACTAAACCCAAGGCAAGGAGAGGGTGAAGAGGGCGAAGAGGGTGAAGAGGGCGAAGAGGGTTAAGAGGGTGAAGAGGTTCAGAGCAACTAGGTGTATTATTTTGGATTTCATTATCTTGGATTTCTTGCAATACTATGTATGTTGGAGTAATTTATTTGAGAATGTCAACAGGACAACTATGACAACTATGAAAATTACAACAACTAGGACAATTCGGGCAACTATGACAACTATGAAAATTACAACAACTAGGACAATTCGGGCAACTAGGACAACTAGGACAACTATGACAACTATGAAAATTACAACAACTAGGACAATTCGGGCAAATATAGACCTAAACCCTTAACTTATTTCTTTTAATTAGTAAACACTAAACAAATATAGCCCTAAACTAATTTCTGAAAATAAGCTAAACCATTAGTGTTTCTAATGAAATAACCCTTATGGTATAAGGCATTTTTTGACAATGGTTTCCATCTTATAAGAGGCTAAACGTAAAAATATAGGAAATATAAAAGAATGGGAGCGAAACCCTTGGGGCAGGTATACAATTTTCAAGGGTTGAGGGGACAACTAAAAAAACGGGAAAATTGATAAAGGACAACTGGAAAAACTTAAAAATCAACCAAAGGACAACTATGACATATTTGGGACAACCGGACAACTAGGTACAACTATATGTTATTTTCACCAGAAAATGCACGCGTGAGAATGGCGGCTGAGGATAATATTATATGTTATTTTCCTCTTTACTTTTCTGGTGACATCATAGTTGTCGTTTACCGTTTTCTCTTTCATAGACAAGGGTCGAACCCTTCTTCTCCAATTATTCTCTTTCCCATTTTTTTCCCCCAAATAGTTTTTTAGGGTTTCCTCAGAAAGCCCTCGCCGCAACATTGATAAATATCAGAAAGCCCTCGCGAAATTGGCTGAAAAGAATAATGATGGCTCTTCTTCTGTCTTGCCTAAGAAAGACTACGGGATGACCACTAGATGGGGACCCGAAGTCAATGGAGTCAGGACCATTCTTCCATGCCCTGTACAAAAGGGAATTCCAAAGGTTTGTTATTGCGGCATAGCTCCAATTGGGTGTTTAACTGACAACTCCTCGCTGGAAAAGGGCCGGAAATATTACGGTTGCTTCTACGGCTGTTGTGGCCCAAAAAATTTCCCGGATGTAAGTTTACTCCTCAAGTCAATCTATTTTTTTTGTCTTTCTAAATAGAATTTCAGCCGATTTACTGGTTTTCAGGTTTCCAGTTGTGGCTTCAAGAAGTGGTGGGATGTCGCCATTCTAGAAGAGATTGAAATGTTAAACGACACCCAAGAAGCCATGCGGTCTTTGTTTGACACCATTCTCTCGAAACTCAACCAGTTGGAGTCCAAGGTGGCATCCCTTGAGCCCGCTATGGATAAGACGAAAGGTTGAAGAAGATTTGATGTGGTTGGGAGTTCTTATGTGAGCGTGTTTTCCTTTGTTCATCATGTTTGTTTTTGTTCTCCTTTGTAATATCCCACAACTATTTCGAATAAATCTCATGTTATGTTTCTTATTCAGATTAAGTTGTCCTTGTTGTCCTAAGCAAAAGAAAGAAAGTTGTCCTTATTGTCCCTGTTGTCCTAAACATAGTCGTCCTTGTTGTCTTTATTGTCCATGTTGTCCTAAACATAGTTTTCCTTGTTGTCCCTGTTGTCCCTGTTGTCCTAAACTACATAGTTATAGTTGAAACACTTCTCCTAAAACAAAATAAATCGTCAACCCAAACAAAATAAACATACTTGTCCTTGTTGTCCTAGACAAAAGAAACGTGTCCGAAACCCAAACACCTAAACAAAAGAAATAAACCACATAATCTACTTCTTCGCTTTTTTGGTCTTCCCCCCAGAGACAAAAGGCGACTGCTTGTACTTCGATGTCTTCCGGGGCCTCTTAGTTCCAGCTCTACCGCCTTTGGATGAGGATGCTCTACCGCCTATGGATGAGGATGCGCCTTTTGATGATGATGTGGATGGTGGTGGTGCGGATGATGCCCGAACATCCCAGTACATGCATTCTAATTCCTCCGACGAGTCAACGATCTTGATCTTGTACCGGTTGTTGGCTAAAACCACCCTCACTATTCCTTGGCGCCATACATCACGATGCAACACCTCCACACGATCCAACAACGAGAAGGAGGATTCTGGTGGAGGTGCCGGTGCGCTTGGAGGTGTCGGTGCGCTTGGAGGTGCCGGTGCGCTTGGAGGTGCCGTTGCGCTTGGAGGGGTCCCTCCTCCTGCGGTCCGAGGAGATGAAACTGATGCCGGTGCGCTTCGAGGGGGGGCCACTGCGGGTCGACCAGAGGAGACTGGTGAGGAGGCGGGTGGTGGAGATGATGGGCGGGGAAGCACTAGCTGTTCGAGGGTCGCAACCCTTTTCTCTAACAGACCCACTAAACCCTTAAGCTCCAGGATTGATGTCGTCTCAGGTTCAGATACTTGAGGAGCCTCGGAAGTGAATCCACCTCGATGTCGAATGTCTAACTCATACAAAGATCTCCAGAAGATCTTCTTCTTCTTCACCGTGAGATGATCCATCCAACTCTCAACACCCACATCAATGACCCCTATCCCATCATCATAGCCAGGATCTAATATCCGACGCAAAAGTCTTTCTTCACCCAAGTTTTCAGGCTTCAAGATGCTATGAATATCCTGCCAATATAAACAAACACAAATTATTGAACCAATTGTAACAACATTGATATAGTTGTACTAGTTGTCCTAATTGCCCCACGACCCATAATTCTTATTTTTATACATAGTTGTACTAGTTGTCCTAATTGCCCCACGACCCATAATTCTTATTTTTATACTTAGTTGTACTAGTTGTCCTAATTGCCCCACGACCCATAATTCTATTTTTTCCATAAGTTGTACCAGTTGTCCTTAAACCACTAACTGCAAGTCAATCAGAGTTCTACCCTAACCAAAACCAGCAAACACTAACCTTTGCACTTGTTCCGATTGCCGCATTTATATCATCCAACGGAATGCCTTTCATGCAAACTTCAGTGAACTTGTGCTTGCACATCCTTGGACAGTCTTCGAGGGCAGGTACAGCTTCTCGGAATTTGCGGCCAAGGCTAGGAATACACTCAAAAGCAAGTATCTACACAAAAAGTAAAAAGATCATTATTAAATTATGAAAAATTATGCATTATAAGAAATGGTAACTAAGAATTACCTGTAGAGGTAGAATGAAACCAGAAAGAGGACATTCAGCTTTTTTGTCTTTCATGCTGCCATCAAACTTCGCCATCACACGCCTGATCTCCTTCATCATGATATCAAATGTGTAACGCCCCCAAGGGAACGTTTTACACACGTTCAAATCGCTGACAACTCGGAGAAGGAAAGGATCAATGTTACCATCACCCTTGTATTGCGCCTTCAATACCTTGCATAAAAACCAGAGGAGTGCCATTTTCTTCCTATCCACAGAGCTCTCCTTCATTTCTTTTAATTTAGCTTCCACTTCCAAAATCTTTACTTTATCCTTCCTACCAAAGTTCTTCTCAACAAACTTCGTGTTCCCCAATTCCTTGTAGTTAGCCGGGTAATCACGACAGTCAAGTCCACTCAAAAGCGCATGCTCTCCTATAGAATACCTAATTGGGACTCCGTTAACAACAAACCAGCACTCGCTAAGCCTTTCCGTATGAGCAGTGTGAAGGAGAAGCATCCACAATCCTTGATTCATGTGGTTGGGCTCCTTGAACATGTGAAAAATGTGCTTAAATTGAGGATGCGCTCTGAACCATGCTTTCTCCTCAGCAAGTTCATCAATCTTGTCCACAACTTTCCTAACTGAGCACCTTGTCAATATCCTACAACCTTGGCTGTACTCGGTTGGCTCGAAGTAAAGCCTCTCAGGCACCATCGGTTGCCCATCATCATCGGCATCCTGAAAAATAAACAAGAAACGCAATCCTATCAGACTTAGTTGTCCCAGTTGTCCAAGTTGTCCATATGCACCTAATCACGTAAAACACAGTTGTCCCAGTTGTCCATATGCACCAAATTACTTCAAACTTAGTTGTCCCTGTTGTCCTAGTTGTCCATACGCACCTAATTACGAAAAACCAAGTTGTCCCTGTTCGCTAGATGTTATATACAGTTGTCCTAGTTGTCCGGATATTGCCTACTTATGTAAAGCTAACTATTCTATACAGTTGTCCAAGTTGTCCAGGTGTAACAAGAATTCATTTCAAAATATAGTTACCTCTAAATCTCCCTCTGATTCTTCTTGCTCTGATTGGTCATGTGCTTCTTCCTCTGAATTTTCTACCTCTTCTCCTTCTTCCTCTTCTCTTTCTTCCTCTTCTCTTTCTTCCTCTGAATTTTCCCCCACTTCTCTTTCTTCCTCTGAATTTTCTCCCTCTTCTCTTCCTTTCCCGGAATTTTCTTCCTCTTCTCTTTCTTTCTCTCCTTCTTCCTCTTCTTCTGCATCTTTCTCGGATTCCTCTTCTGCTGCAGTATCTTTTTCCGATACCTCTTCCGCTACCTCTCCTTCTTTCTGGGATTTCTCCGCCGGTCCCTCTTTCTCGGGTTCATCTTCCTCACACTCGTCCATGGCGGCTTTATTCCTGGTTACCGATACTCGTCGTTCTTCTTCCATGGGTGCGGTTTCATGTGCTTGACTGGTGGTTTCGGAAATCGCTGCTTCTCCTTCTATGGGTGTTGGTGCCGCTTCATTGTTCGTTTCCAGAACTGGTGGTTCTTCTTCCATGGTTGTTGGTGCGGTTTCCGCCGCTTGATTTGTGGTCTCGGAATTCGCTTCTTCTCCTTCTAACACTCCTTCTTCTTCTCTCGGACTAACTTCAAGGGGTTGTTCATCAATCGCCGGTTCCTCTTCTCTCCGAGTTGTTTCGGGGTCTTCATCTCCTCTGGCTGCTTCTTCGCTGCTATTAGGTAATTTGGGTTCTTCAGAATCGTAGATCACCCCGCCGTAACGAGTTTTAACCATAGCTATCGCCGATGATGGAGAAGAAAGGAATGAGCGAATTAGGAGTTAGGGTTTATGGTTAACAAGAGAGAGTTATATAGTAGAGGGAAGAGGAAGTTACGATTTTGGAGAAATCAAATCGATTAGGGTTTGTGAGAGGATTTTCGGTTTCTTCGTGAGATTGGGAAGTTGCAGGAATTTCGGAGAAGAGGGGAGCGGGAGTGAGTGAGGGAGTTAGCCGTTTCGTGAGAGAAGAGAATCGATTTTGATCGATTCGGTCTGAGTTGGTTTTTAGTTGAACCAAATCAACTTCGGTTTAAGGTTTTCAATTTTCTGTTTTCGATTTTTAATTTAATTTCGGTTTATTTTTTTTAATTAAATTGAATTATTATCAGGTTAACGGGTGGGCTTCATTCGGGTGAGTTTTATCCAGGTATTTTCGTTAATATTGACACTTCTAAGGATAATCGTAGAATTTCCCACCCTTTTATAATTAAAAAAAAATACAAAAGAAATTAATTAATAGAATTATGGTTTTTCAGCCTTTTTCTTCACCATTTATGGCTTTTCAGCCGAGCGCTCTCTCATCTTCTCCCTCACATACACTCTGAGACGGTCGTACCCGAATACGTTGGGGATTTTGTGTAAAATTTCCGCTTCACGATCGTATCCATTTGTCAGTTTCTCGGGGGTTTGCAGGGGTTTTCGTCCGCGTTCCAAACCCTAATTCATCTTGTTGCCTCAATCTCTACGAATTTGAAGCTTTTACTCATTACATTGGAAGTTAAAGAGTCTTACTTTCATGGCTTCTTCTTAAAGTAGTCTTCTTTATGAACAAAATCGGCTCCTCGTGTTACTTCTCGCTCGTAAACCCCTTGTGTGGGATCGTTCTCTCGATCTGATTTTCTGAATGGATAGTAATAAAAAAGCGATTCCAAGTTCCAAAGACCTGATTAGCAGTTTACCAGATGATCTTCTCCTTCACGGGTTGACTTTCCTGACGACAAAAGAGGCTGCTTTAACACCGGTTCTGTCAAAGAGATGGTTGAATCTGCTTCAATCGTTACCCATTCTCGATTTAGACGATTCTTTGTTACTGAATCCCAGAAAGGGTCAACGAAAAAATGGGATTTTCAGGGATTTCGTGGATAGGTTGCTGTCTCGGCGAGTGAAGAACTCATCGCCGGTTACGAAATTTTCTCTCAAGTGTCGTCAAGGCAGTGTTGAACAAGATCGCGTAATCCAGTGGATACGAACTGTAATAGACCTTGATGTCTTGGAACTTTCTCTTCGCTTCGATTACAGGATCTTTCATTTGCCTTTTAATGTGTTTACGAGCAAGACTTTGGTAAACCTCAGGATCGGAACAAGAATCTTTCTTTCGCAGGCATCTTCAGATTTCGTTTCTCTGATGCTTAAATCCCTCGTTCTTGAATCAGTTTCGTTTGGGGATGCTAAGCTTGGGTTTAAACCGATTCTATCAGCCTTTCCTTCGCTTCAAAACCTTCGGATCCATGAATCGAAACAATGGTTCTATTGGAATGGGTCTATTTCAAGTCCAACACTCAAGAAACTTGTGTACAGACGCGATGATGATTCTTCTGTTCCCAAAACTTGTGTTTCGTTTGATACTCGGACTCTTGTTTACTTAGACTATTCGGATGTGGTCGCGGATAAGTATGAAAATCTGCATTTGGACAGCCTGGTTGAAGCTAGGCTTGATCTTCAGTTGACAGCAAAACAAATCATGCGCATTAGTGCTCCGGATAATGTTGGTTTTGTTCCTGGTGATGTTACAACCTTGTTCATGGGAATCAGATATGTCAAGATCCTCTGCTTAACTCCGGATGCTCTAGATGTCAGTCCCATCAAGTTACTTCTTGAAATGTGTAGCTTTTTTTTCTTTTTCTTTGAGTTTATTGCGTTATAGTAAATGATGCAAAAGAGTTTGATTCTGATGTGTGCGTTTCAGACGCTCTAATACCGCGGTGAAAGGATACCGGTGTTCAACAATCTGATTAGCTTATCTCTGGGAAGCGATAAACCTCATGGCTCTCCTTACATCTTCTGGAATTTGCTCCCATCTCTGCTTCTCAGCTCTCTCAATCTAGAAACTCTCATTATCAAAGTACTGTGCCAAAAAAAAGAGTTATATTCTAAAAATTCTGAATCTATAATGATATTCTCTCTTACGTTTTTTCAGGGTCTAATACACTATGTTAGAGAAGGATGGGAAGAAGGGTATCGTCTACGTATTTCTTGGGATGATGTGTCTGATTCTCTGTCATCATCTGCAAATTCTTCATTGCTTCTGCGTTTAAATAACAAGGTATAATTGTTTTCCCTTTTTTTACTTCCTTTTTTTTATCTAAGCTTCTTGTGCTCGTGTTAATGATTTTTGAGAACAAGTGTTTATTCGAAATTTCTTACTCCATCGAGTTCTTGTGTTTTTTTTTTCAGGCTTTTTAAGTCTTGCTATGTCTTCCAAAAGGATGAATCTTGGTTCCAGAGATTTAATTAGCGGTTTACCAGATTGTCTTATTTGCCACATCTTGTCTTTCGTTTCCACTAAAGAAGCTGCCTCCACATCTATTCTAGCGAAACGATGGAGATATCTATTTGCTCTTACACCAAATCTTGTTTTCGACGACTCTGTCTATCAAAATCCTGAAATGGTTAACCAAAAGAAGTATACTTTTCCGTGGATAACCAAAAAAGAGAGTAAAATTCCTAGAAGTTTTGTGGATTTTGTGGATAGAGTATTGGTCTTGCACCAGAATCCTCTTTTAAACAGATTCTCTCTTAAGTGTGAAGATGTTGTTCATCCAGCTATTGCCATTGGTTGGATACTCAAGGTGTTGGATCGTGGTGTATTAGATCTTGATCTTCATTTCTCCACGGAATTGCATTGTCCGCTTCCTTCAGAGATGTTTGTGAGCGAGACTTTGGTTAGGCTGAAAATAGGAGTTAGAGATGTTCTCGCCATTGATGTGAAAGATGTTTTTCTTCCAAATGTTAAGACCCTCTGTCTTGATTATGTCATGATCAAGAACAGTGATTTTGCTAAGCTTCTTTCGGGTTGTAAGGCGCTTGAGGAGTTAGTTCTGAACAATTTGTTCGAGGTTAGGTACTCTTGCTCTGTTTCTAATAAAACCATCAAGAAACTAATGGTTTGTCGTTCGAGAACTTTTGATGAAAATCACAAGAGAGTGTCATTTGATACACCAAATCTTGTCTACCTCGAATATTCTGATACTATTGCAGACAAGTATCCCAAAGTTAATCTTAATTCGCTTGTTGAAGCTAGTCTCGATCTCCGAATGACATCTGATCAGATCTTCAAGGCAACTTATGAAATACCAGCTCCGGAAGAGATGGTTGGTAATGCAACAAATTTTCTTATGGGAATATGCAATGTCAAGATCCTTTACTTGTCTGATGCCACTCTTGAGGTCAGTCCAATTCTCACTCTTTGTATTTTAAAGTTTTTTTGCTGCTCATTAAAAGTAAAAGAAGAAGACAAACAAAGTATTTTAGAAGTCGGAGTATAAGGTAGTATGTATAACATTGGTTAAAGGCCAAGAGCTTGATGACCTTGTTGTTTTGGTTTTTGTTTCAGGTACTTACTTACTGCTGTAAACCAATGCCGGAATTCAACAACCTGATTCACTTAACCATTCAGACTGACCCAGATGTAGCTTGGAAATCATTGCCGGCTCTACTCAAGAATTGTCCAAAACTTGAAACCCTCGTCTTTGAAGTACCAACAAATATTCTTTACTGCATCTGCTAACACATTTCTAAAAACCAAATTAGATGTTGAAGTTATGTCTTTTCTGATGCAGGGACTCCATCATAGATATGCCAACTGTGCGGAAGAGGACGGGTGCTTGTGCAAACCCTGTGAGGATACTACTACTTGCCTATCATCAAGTCCGGTGAAGGTTCTAAAGATATTGAAGTTTGGAGAAATCTTTGATGATTATGACATAGAGGAGCAGATAAAGCAGGTCAAACACTTCCTAGAAACAATGCCGAATCTTGAACAACTTATATTGTACTATGATACATCTTTTGACGAAGATGTGAATGAAGTGTCAACCCAACTTCAGCGGCATCCTAGAGCAGCTTCTTCCAAGTGCAAGATTCAAGTAATCTCAGATAACCTCTGCTTGTCATCTACTGTGCCGTCCACAGTAACGACAAAATGGGATTGTCTTCTTTCTGGTTTCTGAGGTCTCTTTAGAAGAACCTTTTTTGCTAAAAGATCTAAGCTCTAATCAAAGATTATTTTTGGTTAGTAAAGACTTGTTTCCTTATGCTTTGTCCTGTTGGCTGACATTGGTAACTTGATGTTTTGTTAGTATCAACTCGTTTGTTGTTTAACTTTTATCTCTTCTTGGTCATTGGAACTGCATCATGTTTAATGGTTTCGGTAAAAATATCATGTAATAGCTGTTTATCATTCATGATTGATTGATCCGTTATTTCAAAATTTTAACCACTAGCATCACTACCGGTTTCGCTCTTCCAATGTCACAAATTATGAAGCATTCCAATTAGTTAGTTGTTTTGGGCTGTTTATGTGTCGTATGGGCTTAAATTTCAGAAATAAAAATTTGGGGTTGAAGATGGAAAGATCCTACTTTTACAAAATCTCTAGACTTGATAAAAACGCTGGTCTTTATCAACTCAACCATCAGACTACATTTCTTCTTCCCTCTCAGTCTCTCACCCCTACAAATACAATCTCCAAAACCCTAGCATTTCAACAGTCGCTTCCCGCCCCAATAGCTATGTGATTGTTCGATATTCTCAATAGTTTGAGTGATCTTGGCTGGCTTTGCTTTGCTTTGCTTTTATCGCCAAGTAAGTTTCCATATCGATCTTGTGTTCTTCTGTTTTTTTTTTTGTTGTTCTCAAGCTTGCAAATTTGATGTGTGTGTGTGTGTTCTTAAAGGAACCTTACGGATTCTGTGAAAGAGACGACCTTGAAAACTTTGAAATCGTTTGTTAGAATTTCTTATTCATTTCGAGGTTCGTCTCTTTGGTTTTCAGTGGTATCGAAAAAGATGGATTTTGGTGGTTCGAGAGATGTAATCAGTGGTTTACCAGAAGCTCTTATTTGCCACATCTTGTCCTTTCTTACCACCAAAGAAGCTGCTTCTACATCGGTTCTCTCGAGCAAATGGCGGTATCTCTTTGCTTCTGTCCCTAATCTTAATTTTGATGACTCGGTCTATCTGGATCCTCGTATACAGAGAAGGGTCCATCAACAAGGGCTGAATGTTTCTCCTAGTTTTATGGATTTCGTGGACAGAGTATTAGCTTTGCAAGGCAATTCTCATGTACACAAGTTCTCTCTAAAGATCCAAGCTGGCAATGATCCAGTTGATCCAACCCGTATCTTTCGTTGGATTCTCAGTGTGTTGGCACGTGGTGTATCGGATCTTGATCTATGCATAGATTTGGGAACGAAGTCTCTGCTTCCTTCAGAGGTTTTCAAGAGCGAGACGTTGGTTAGGCTGAAACTAGATATTGGATGTGGCCCCTACGTTGACGTTGGTGATGTATATCTTCCGAAGCTTAAAGCTCTCCATCTTGAGTGCTCTTTCGAAAACCGTGAATGTGGGCTTACTAAGCTTCTCTCTGGATGTCTCATGCTTGAGGATTTAGTTTTGCATACTACAAATTGGTTCAGTCTTGGTTTTACCTCGGTGTCTGTCACAACTCTCAAGAGACTAACGTACAGCTGGGAACTGCGTGATTACAATCCAGAGAGTGTCTCCTTCGATACTCCGAATCTTGTCTATTTGGAATTTACCGACACTATCTCGGAAGTGTATCCAAAAGTGAACTTCGAGTCGCTTGTTGAAGCTCGTATCTATCTTCGGATGTCAGTAGATCAGGCAGCTGCGACACAGTTCTTACAAGAGGCCAGTTTTTCAGAACTACAGATTTATTACTCTGAAGGTAATCAAGAAAACAAAATGGTCGGTAACGCAACAGATTTTATAATGGGATTACGCAATGTGAAGATCCTTTATCTCTCTGCCGACACTCTTGAGGTTTGTATTTCATTACTCTCATCTTTCTCCTACTATTAAAAAAAAGAGTTTATGTTACCTAGAAAATGAATGATTGCAAATGAATGATGATGGTTTTCTTGATATGGTATTGTTTCAGGTACTTACTTACTGTTGTGAAGTAATACCGCTATTCAACAACCTGACTCAGTTAACAATCGAGAGTAAACCGGAAGTAGGATGGCAATCATTGCCGGGTCTGCTCAAGAACTCCCCTAATCTGGAGACTCTCGTCTTACAAGTATGAAACAAGCCCTTTATATAAAAAGCATTTGCTGATCCATTTTTTTTTTCAAAGTTTGAGATGTTTCCCCTATGTTTCAGGGACTCGTCCACAAAGTCACGGATAAATGTGGAGAAGTGTGTGTGTGCAACGGGGAGGAAGAGGATGCCATTACTACTTGCTTATCATCAAGCCCGGTGAAGGTGCTGAAGATAATGAAGTTTGGTGAAATCTATGATGGGAAGATAGAGAAGCATTTGAGGCATCGCTTACTTAACAATAAAACCCAAAGAAAGATAGAGAAGCAGATTGAGCAAGTCGAGTACTTTCTAGAGTTGATGCCGAATCTTGAGCAAGTGATATTATACTACGGTACATCATTTGAGGAATATGTGACTGAAGTATCAACCCAACTTCAGAGGCTTCCTAGAGTAGCTTCGTTAAAGTGCAATGTCCAACTAATCTCTGATCACTCGAACTAGTCATCTGTTGTGCCCTCTTCCGTATCGATGAAATGGGCTTCTCTTCCCTAGGAAAAGTTTCTCAGGTCTTTTTTTTGTTTGAATCATTCATGTCTTTTTTACCATATCTCAAAGCCATGGATGTGTTTCGGCTGCATGTTTGGCATCTCAAAGTCATGGATGTGTCTCGGCTACATCTTTTGTATGATTTCTAAAATGATTAAAACGCTAATTAAGTTTCATTTGTTCGGCATCATAGTTGTGCTTTAAGGCTGTTTGACCTTTTGGCTGAGACAATGATAACTTAATGTTTTGTCTGTTTCAGATCTTGCTTTCTTTATGATGTGTGAACTCTTCTTGGGTAAAGAAATGTAAACGTGAGACCTAACTAACTTGTCAATCATCACTTATCTTTACAAGTAAAATAATTGGATATCAATTCTTGATGGAGCCTGAGTTACTTAAGGAGCATTTATGAAAGGAATGTGCTTTGAAGAATATTTACATAGATTAAATAGAGTGATATATTTAGAGACTACTAAAATCATTCAATTTGCTAAGACACAAAAGAGAAAAATCGACCAATGCTGATAAATAGAGTTTATATTTTTTTTGAGAAAAGATTAAAGAATTCATTTTCAAAAGGAAAATTATTAGTGACCAAAAAGTACTAGGAAATAAATGGTTTTTGTTTAAAAGAGTAACGGGATTCACTACCTCACTCTCGGCTACTATTGCATAAACCCTAATTTTCTCTTCCATTTCCCTCTCGCAATCGACCTCTGAATCCTACTATACGAAGTTGTCAGATTTTGGGTGATCTTATGGGTCCTTCTCCTTTACACGAGTAAGTTCCCAATTTCTTCTTCTAATTTTGTGCTTCTTCTCTAGTGTCTGATTTATTTTTTTCTCCAGCAATCTGCTTTTGTGGGTCCCTGTTTGATCCTAGCCTGTGTTTATCCTATTGGAAAACCTTAATTGAAACCTCTCTGTCTTTGCAAAACAAAAACCATGGAAACTGGTTCGCCATTGATAACATCGTATTTGTTGTGTTTTTAGTTTAGCTACTAAAATCCTCTGTTCGAATTCCTACCTAACACAAGCTCACATCATCTTCCAGGTCTTAACTCTTGATCTGTGTCAAATGAATTCGAAAAGGATGGATATTGGCTCCAAAGATGTCATCAGCAGTCTACCAGACGCTCTTATTTGCCACATTTTGTCTTTCCTCTCCACAAAAGATGCTGCTTTGACTTCAGTTCTGTCGAAAAGGTGGAGGAATCTTTTAGCTTTTGTGCCAATTTTGGATTTGGATAACACCATCTATGACCATCCTAAAATGGGTAGACGTAAAAGGCTACAGATGCGTACAAGTTTTAAGGTTTTTGTGGATAGAGTTATGGCTTTGCAAGGGAATGCTCCCTTGAACAAATTCTCTCTAAGGTGTAAAATTGGTCGTGATCCATCTCGTGTCAATGGTTGGATACTCAAAGTGTTGGAGCGCGGAGTAGTAGATCTCTCTCTATACATCTCTTCGGAATATAAGTATCCACTGCCTCCACAGGTCTTGATGAGCAAGACATTGGTTACGCTGAAAGTAGCTGGTACAGATGAGTTCACCATTGATGTGATGGACGTTTATCTTCCAAAGCTTAAGACTTTGCATATGGAGGATGTTTCGTTTGATGATGAGACTGGTGCTTCATTTGCCAAGCTAATTTCTGCTTGTCACGCGCTTGAGGAGTTAGTTATGACTAAAATGATGTTGGATTTTTGGGAATCTTGCTCTGTCTGCAACCCAACCCTCAAGAGAGTCAAAATTTATGCTGAGAACATTGATGAGAATCCAAAGAGTGTATCCTTCGATACTCCCAATCTTGTCTACTTAGAATTCACTGATACTGTTGCTGCCAAGTATCCAAAAGCGAAGTTTGATTCTCTAGTTGAAGCTAGCGTAGGCATTCGAATGACACCTGATCAGGTCTTTCACGCAAGAGATTTAGTAAATCGTCATTATGGCTATACAACAAAGTTGGTCGGAAATGTAGCAGATTTTCTCATGGGAATAAGCAATGTTAAGATCCTTTACCTATCGTCTGAGGCTCTTGAGGTTTGCGTATCAATCTCATTTATATCTTCATAATTTTTATTCCTCTGAAAGTAAAAGAAGGAAAGGCAAATAACGTAGAGAGCGCTCGGCTTGAAAAGCCATAAATGGTGAAGAAAAAGGCTGAAAAACCATAATTCTATTAATTAATTTCTTTTGTATTTTTTTTAATTACAAAAGGGTGGGAAATTCTACGATTATCCTTAGAAGTGTCAATATTAACGAAAATACCTGGATAAAACCCACCCGAATGAAGCCCACCCGTTAACCCGATAATAATTCAATTTAATTAAAAAAAATAAACCGAAATTAAATTAAAAATCGAAAACAGAAAATTGAAAACCTTAAACCGAAGTTGATTTGGTTCAACTAAAAACCAACTCAGACCGAATCGATCAAAATCGATTCTCTTCTCTCGCGAAACGGCTAACTTCCTCACTCACTCCCGCTCCCCTCTTCTCCGAAATTCCTGCAACTTCCCAATCTCACGAAGAAACCGAAAATCCTCTCACAAATCCTAATCGATTTGATTTCTCCAAAATCGTAACTTCCTCTTCCCTCTACTATATAACTCTCTCTTGTTAACCCTAAACCCTAACTCCTAATTCGCTCATTCCTTTCTTCTCCATCATCGGCGATAGCTATGGTTAAAACTCGTTACGGCGGGGTGATCTACGATTCCGAAGAACCCAAATTACCCAATAGCAGCGAAGAAGCAGCCAGAGGAGATGAAGACCCCGAAACAACTCGGAGAGAAGAAGAACCGGCGATTGATGAACAACCCCCTGAAGTTAGTCCGAGAGAAGAAGAAGGAGTGTTAGAAGGAGAAGAAGCGAATTCCGAGACCACAAATCAAGCGGCGGAAACCGCACCAACAACCATGGAAGAAGAACCACCAGTTCTGGAAACGAACAATGAAGCGGCACCAACACCCATAGAAGGAGAAGCAGCGATTTCCGAAACCACCAGTCAAGCACATGAAACCGCACCCATGGAAGAAGAACGGCGAGTATCGGAAACCACGAATAAAGCCGCCATGGAAGAGTGTGAGGAAGATGAACCCGAGAAAGAGGGACCGGCGGAGAAATCCCAGAAAGAAGGAGAGGTAGCGGAAGAGGTATCCGAAAAAGATACTGCAGCAGAAGAGGAATCCGAGAAAGATGCAAAAGAAGAGGAAGAAGGAGAGAAAGAAAGAGAAGAGGAAGAAAATTCCGGGAAAGGAAGAGAAGAGGGAGAAAATTCAGAGGAAGAAAGAGAAGTGGGGGAAAATTCAGAGGAAGAAAGAGAAGAGGAAGAAAGAGAAGAGGAAGAAAGAGAAGAGGAAGAAGGAGAAGAGGTAGAAAATTCAGAGGAAGAAGCACATGACCAATCAGAGCAAGAAGAATCAGAGGGAGATTTAGAGGTAACTATATTTTGAAATGAATTCTTGCTACACCTGGACAACTTGGACAACTGTATAGAATAGTTAGCTTTACATAAGTAGGCAATATCCGGACAACTAGGACAACTGTATATAACATCTAGCGAACAGGGACAACTTGGTTTTTCGTAATTAGGTGCGTATGGACAACTAGGACAACAGGGACAACTAAGTTTGAAGTAATTTGGTGCATATGGACAACTGGGACAACTGTGTTTTACGTGATTAGGTGCATATGGACAACTTGGACAACTGGGACAACTAAGTCTGATAGGATTGCGTTTCTTGTTTATTTTTCAGGATGCCGATGATGATGGGCAACCGATGGTGCCTGAGAGGCTTTACTTCGAGCCAACCGAGTACAGCCAAGGTTGTAGGATATTGACAAGGTGCTCAGTTAGGAAAGTTGTGGACAAGATTGATGAACTTGCTGAGGAGAAAGCATGGTTCAGAGCGCATCCTCAATTTAAGCACATTTTTCACATGTTCAAGGAGCCCAACCACATGAATCAAGGATTGTGGATGCTTCTCCTTCACACTGCTCATACGGAAAGGCTTAGCGAGTGCTGGTTTGTTGTTAACGGAGTCCCAATTAGGTATTCTATAGGAGAGCATGCGCTTTTGAGTGGACTTGACTGTCGTGATTACCCGGCTAACTACAAGGAATTGGGGAACACGAAGTTTGTTGAGAAGAACTTTGGTAGGAAGGATAAAGTAAAGATTTTGGAAGTGGAAGCTAAATTAAAAGAAATGAAGGAGAGCTCTGTGGATAGGAAGAAAATGGCACTCCTCTGGTTTTTATGCAAGGTATTGAAGGCGCAATACAAGGGTGATGGTAACATTGATCCTTTCCTTCTCCGAGTTGTCAGCGATTTGAACGTGTGTAAAACGTTCCCTTGGGGGCGTTACACATTTGATATCATGATGAAGGAGATCAGGCGTGTGATGGCGAAGTTTGATGGCAGCATGAAAGACAAAAAAGCTGAATGTCCTCTTTCTGGTTTCATTCTACCTCTACAGGTAATTCTTAGTTACCATTTCTTATAATGCATAATTTTTCATAATTTAATAATGATCTTTTTACTTTTTGTGTAGATACTTGCTTTTGAGTGTATTCCTAGCCTTGGCCGCAAATTCCGAGAAGCTGTACCTGCCCTCGAAGACTGTCCAAGGATGTGCAAGCACAAGTTCACTGAAGTTTGCATGAAAGGCATTCCGTTGGATGATATAAATGCGGCAATCGGAACAAGTGCAAAGGTTAGTGTTTGCTGGTTTTGGTTAGGGTAGAACTCTGATTGACTTGCAGTTAGTGGTTTAAGGACAACTGGTACAACTTATGGAAAAAATAGAATTATGGGTCGTGGGGCAATTAGGACAACTAGTACAACTAAGTATAAAAATAAGAATTATGGGTCGTGGGGCAATTAGGACAACTAGTACAACTATGTATAAAAATAAGAATTATGGGTCGTGGGGCAATTAGGACAACTAGTACAACTATATCAATGTTGTTACAATTGGTTCAATAATTTGTGTTTGTTTATATTGGCAGGATATTCATAGCATCTTGAAGCCTGAAAACTTGGGTGAAGAAAGACTTTTGCGTCGGATATTAGATCCTGGCTATGATGATGGGATAGGGGTCATTGATGTGGGTGTTGAGAGTTGGATGGATCATCTCACGGTGAAGAAGAAGAAGATCTTCTGGAGATCTTTGTATGAGTTAGACATTCGACATCGAGGTGGATTCACTTCTGAGGCTCCTCAAGTATCTGAACCTGAGACGACATCAATCCTGGAGCTTAAGGGTTTAGTGGGTCTGTTAGAGAAAAGGGTTGCGACCCTCGAACAGCTAGTGCTTCCCCGCCCATCATCTCCACCACCCGCCTCCTCACCAGTCTCCTCTGGTCGACCCGCAGTGGCCCCCCCTCGAAGCGCACCGGCATCAGTTTCATCTCCTCGGACCGCAGGAGGAGGGACCCCTCCAAGCGCACTGGCACCTCCAAGCGCACCGGCACCTCCAAGCGCACCGACACCTCCAAGCGCACCGGCACCTCCACCAGAATCCTCCTTCTCGTTGTTGGATCGTGTGGAGGTGTTGCATCGTGATGTATGGCGCCAAGGAATAGTGAGGGTGGTTTTAGCCAACAACCGGTACAAGATCAAGATCGTTGACTCGTCGGAGGAATTAGAATGCATGTACTGGGATGTTCGGGCATCATCCGCACCACCACCATCCACATCATCATCAAAAAGCGCATCATCATCCATAGGCGGTAGAGCATCCTCATCCAAAGGCGGTAGAGCTGGAACTAAGAGGCCCCGGAAGACATCGAAGTACAAGCAGTCGCCTTTTGTCTCTGGGGGGAAGACCAAAAAAGCGAAGAAGTAGATTGTGTGGTTTATTTCTTTTGTTTAGGTGTTTGGGTTTCGGACACGTTTCTTTTGTTTAGGACAACAAGGACAAGTATGTTTATTTTGTTTGGGTTGACGATTTATTTTGTTTTAGGAGAAGTGTTTCAACTATAACTATGTAGTTTAGGACAACAGGGACAACAGGGACAACAAGGACAACTATGTTTAGGACAACATGGACAATAAAGACAACAAGGACGACTATGTTTAGGACAACAGGGACAATAAGGACAACTTTCTTTCTTTTGCTTAGGACAACAAGGACAACTTAATCTGAATAAGAAACATAACATGAGATTTATTCGAAATAGTTGTGGGATATTACAAAGGAGAACAAAAACAAACATGATGAACAAAGGAAAACACGCTCACATAAGAACTCCCAACCACATCAAATCTTCTTCAACCTTTCGTCTTATCCATAGCGGGCTCAAGGGATGCCACCTTGGACTCCAACTGGTTGAGTTTCGAGAGAATGGTGTCAAACAAAGACCGCATGGCTTCTTGCGTGTCGTTTAACATTTCAATCTCTTCTAGAATGGCGACATCCCACCACTTCTTGAAGCCACAACTGGGAACCTGAAAACCAGTAAATCGGCTGAAATTCTATTTAGAAAGACAAAAAAAAATAGATTGACTTGAGGAGTAAACTTACATCCGGGAAATTTTTTGGGCCACAACAGCCGTAGAAGCAACCGTAATATTTCCGGCCCTTTTCCAGCGAGGAGGTGTCAGTTAAACACCCAATTGGAGCTATGCCGCAATAACAAACCTTTGGAATTCCCTTTTGTACAGGGCATGGAAGAATGGTCCTGACTCCATTGACTTCGGGTCCCCATCTAGTGGTCATCCCGTAGTCTTTCTTAGGCAAGACAGAAGAAGAGCCATCATTATTCTTTTCAGCCAATTTCGCGAGGGCTTTCTGATATTTATCCATGTTGCGGCGAGGGCTTTCTGAGGAAACCCTAAAAAACTATTTGGGGAAAAAAAATGGGAAAGAGAATAATTGGAGAAGAAGGGTTCGACCCTTGTCTATGAAAGAGAAAACGGTAAACGACAACTATGATGTCACCAGAAAAGTAAAGAGGAAAATAACATATAATATTATCCTCAGTTGCCATTCTCACGCGTGCATTTTCTGGTGAAAATAACATATAGTTGTACCTAGTTGTCCGGTTGTCCCAAATATGTCATAGTTGTCCTTTGGTTGATTTTTAAGTTTTTCCAGTTGTCCTTTATCAATTTTCCCGTTTTTTTAGTTGTCCCCTCAACCCTTGAAAATTGTATACCTGCCCCAAGGGTTTCGCTCCCATCCTTTTATATTTCCTATATTTTTACGTTTAGCCTCTTATAAGATGGAAACCATTGTCAAAAAATGTCTTATACCATAAGGGTTATTTCATTAGAAACACTAATGGTTTAGCTTATTTTCAGAAATTAGTTTAGGGCTATATTTGTTTAGTGTTTACTAATTAAAAGAAATAAGTTAAGGGTTTAGGTCTATATTTGCCCGAATTGTCCTAGTTGTTGTAATTTTCATAGTTGTCATAGTTGTCCTAGTTGTCCTAGTTGCCCGAATTGTCCTAGTTGTTGTAATTTTCATAGTTGTCATAGTTGTCCTAGTTGTCCTAGTTGCCCGAATTGTCCTAGTTGTTGTAATTTTCATAGTTGTCATAGTTGTCATGTTGACATTCTCAAATAAATTACTCCAACATACATAGTATTGCAAGAAATCCAAGATAATGAAATCCAAAATAATACACCTAGTTGCTCTGAACCTCTTCACCCTCTTAACCCTCTTCGCCCTCTTCACCCTCTTCGCCCTCTTCACCCTCTCCTTGCCTTGGGTTTAGTGGTTCAAACCAACGGCCAATGTTTGTGTTTGGGTTGGCCTTCTGACTCCTGCGAGCTTCTCCGGTGGAAGGAAACCGCTTCTCCTTCTTCCTTCCTGATTTTTTGGTGTAGTCTGGTGGGTAAACAACTAAATTTCCAACCTCCTCAGGAATAATCCAAGTTGAATGATGCGGCACCATATAGATGGTTCGGCAATAAGCCAACGCCCAAGTATCAATCAAGTAGTACCTCGAGCATAAATCGAAAATGTGTATGTCTCTTCTTCTAGATGTCGTCCGCATCATTGCAATGGTTGCGGCTATTGCATGCACACATGGAATCTTATCTATATCAAACATCCGACACTCACAACTTTTTGTTACCAAATTGACCAGATAGCTCTTCCCATCAAGTCCAACCACACTGTACTCAAGCTCAGGAACATTTAGCTCAGTCACAGTTAACGCTGTCGCTATTGCACATTGGATATGCAACTGATTTTCCACATATGGCACCAATTTCTTCGAATACGATGCACCAGCAATGTCTTCCCTATGCCTGTTGAACCACTCAGACACTTTTTCAATATACGCATCAATCAACGGCAATAATGCATACTTTCTAGCTTTCTTGAAGACACTGTTCATAGATTCACAGGTGTTGCTTGTGTCCAAGTTATACTTGTCTCCTTTGAAGTAGCACCTTGCCCATTTCTCGAGAGGAAGACCATTCTCTAAGTACTTCGCAGCTTTGGGAAACATTCTACCAAATTCGGTATATGCACTTAGAAACTCACTTTCGGTGTACTTGTGAGCGCAGTCAATGAATTTTTTTTAGCACAAATCTTTCCAACCATTGGCTGCTTTAACCCTCACATTCCGAGACAGGTGCCAAACACAAAATCCATGCTGAGACTGAGGGTACACCTCTTGCACTGCCTTCGCTATGCTTGTGTGTCTGTCACTCATAAAAACAATCTCAGGATTATCTGGTATAACAGTTTTGAGCATCTCTAAAAACCACCTCCAACTAGCATCTTTCTCACTATCGATTACACCCATTGCAATGGGATAATGGTGATGATTAGGATCCTGAGCTGTGGCAAATACAAGCATACCACCATAAACATTCTTAAGAAATGTTGCATCCACAACTATGACTTTTCTCATTGATCTAAACCCTTCAATGCTGGGACCCAAAGCCACAAAAAGATACTTGAACTTATTATTAGCATCCACTTCCACGCTCGTCACTGTACCGGGGTTCACCAGCTTCAGCATGTACAAACAAGAATGCAATCTTTGAAAGCTCTCAGCCGGACTACCCCTCACTTGACTAATAGCGAGTTTTTTCCCTCTCAATGCAGTAGAGTACGACACATTCACATGAGCTTCAGTTTGAACAACCTTTACTATATTTCTAGGAGCGGGTGTATCCACTACACCTGGATACGAAGCACGCAAAACATCTGCTACTACTTGTGGAGTGCCTTTTCTTTTATTCTCAAGTGTGCTGGTAAGGACCCGAGAGCAACAATGCTTATTCCTGTAAACTCGAAGGCTGAAATAAGTTGAATCCTTCATTCTTACAGCATGTAAATACCATGAACAACCATGTTCAGCTTGACGGCATTTTAGAATGAGTCGCCCAGGATCAGACTTCACAGTTTTAACCTCAAAACATCCCTTATGCGAAGCTCTGTCAACCAATACTCGCAACGCCTCTTTCGACCTAAATTCTTGATGTTTCTCAAAACCAGCACCATCATCCCATTCAATAACAAACTGCTGAGTTGGTTCTACTCGCCCTGCAGGCTCTACGTGATCATCCTCATCCATAATATACTCTGCAGGCTCTACATGTGCATGATCATCCGGTTTTGAAACAACATCATCGATCACCATCTGTTTCTCAGTCTCTGCCACGACCACAATAGCAAGTTCATTCTGTTCTTTCCCTGCTTCTACCGGTGTGTAAGTAGTCATCCCTTCCTCAATATCAAGCATATTATCCCCTGTTGCTAGCTCATCACTCTGATCTTCCATTATCTCCACATTCAACACAGATCTAAGTCCATCTTTGTCCAGAGTTGTTAGATAGACATACACATCACCATCATCAACAATACGTGACTCATTGCGTGGCTTAGCTACCAATGGAATGTAGCTTAACTTGAGCTTCTTTGTACTATCGTTTATCCCAATCTTCTTGCATATACCATCTACAACCATCGAATAGGTTACCTCGTCGATAGATTTTTTAAATGATATAGCATAGATGGAACTCCTTGAAATCCATTTAAACTCTTCTCCTTCCTTAAAATAACATCCTCCATACTCAAAATGTATGTTTGTGTGGCCGCTCATCCTCTTCTGTTCATAAATACAAAAAAAAAGGCTTTTACGATTTACAAAAAATTAAAATTTACTCACAGTTATACCAATTGTACCAGTTGTCCCACATATCTCTTTAAGTTATCCCAATTGTACCAGTTGTCCCATTTCATTCAGTTTTCCCAATTGTACCAGTTGTCCCACATATCTCATTCAGTTATCCTAATTGTACCAGTTGTCCCATTTCATTCAGTTTTCTTAATTGTACCAGTTGTCCCACATATCTCATTCAGTTATCCCAATTGTACCAGTTGTCCAATTTCATTCAGTTATCCCAATTATACCAGTTGTCCCCTTTCATTTAGTTATCCCAATTATACCACTTCTCCTAATTCATTAAGTTATCCCTATTGTACCAGTTGTCCCATTTCATTCAGTTACCAATTGTACCAGTTGTCCCGTTTCCCACAGATTCACTATTTGTACGATTCAGCTCGATTCAAATCGATTCTACCGCACCACGTTACATTTTAACACAGAGAAAACTAAATCAACCTATATAAGTAACTAAACTATCCAATGTGCAACCTAAACAAACCGAAATTGACAAATCGATTGAAAAATTGAAAAATCCCCAAAATACAGAATATGTTCACCTTAAAGCGAAATGGCGGAGGAGAAATGAGTTACGGAGAATAACCCGACTTCAGAGGACGCCGGCGCACCGCTACGAACGAAAATAAGCAACAGTTTACAAGATTCGAGCAGATCGATCGATATCTGGGTTTAAGGTTTTCGTTTGAGCTTTTAGGGTTTACATACGCGGGATGAAGATTTTGATTTCCCTAATTTTTGGTTCAATATACCCAGAAATTCTGATAATACCCGAAATTGATTTGTTGGTTTGGTTTTTCGATTTCAATTTTCAATTTTCAGTTAACTCGATTTTTTTTAAAAAACACCAAAATTCATCACAATTCAAGAATGCTATCATCTCTCTTCATTAAGGGTAAAATGGGCATATCACACCTATTATGACACTCAGACTCATTTGTGGCACAAGAGATTTTTTTTTCCTAATTTATGGCTTCTCAGCCATTAATTCAAGATGAGATGAACATTTCACTAAAATGAAATCGGATGGGTCTTAACCAGTTTTGGGCCCATTGGGCCTATCTTTAATCAAATTGAAGAGTATTATATTTGCGTCGATGTTTACCTGTTTTTTTTTCTATGTTTACCTGTTGTTTTAAAAAAAAATTAACGATGAGGTTTGCACAAAAAAGAAATATAATAACGATCTTGTTTAGTTGTTGTTTACAAGTTTAAGTATGCAATTTTAACTTCACTAATTTATGTATATGTGGTGTTGTTTTATGTATAGATTATTTTGTTGTTGTCATAGACACAGTATAAGGGCACATTTCAACCAATTGAACGAGTGACATTAAGCAACTTATTTTTCCTTTCTATTCAACATAACTATTAATTTTCATAAACTTGAACAGTAAGGCTTATATCTGCAGCTTTCTCAAAGCTTATAGCCGATTGCAATTTGGTAGAATTGAAACTGGTACGTAATAGCAGACAATCGAGCATGTTTCACAATTATTTATGCAGCTTGATTAGTTTGGCGATGATTGAAGGATATGAGACTTGCTCAAACTTTTTTCCTTGTCTTGAGAGCTTATAATACTCAAAATTATATAGATATATTAACAAGTAATAATGAGAAGGAAAAAAACACAATAATATGAGTGAAAATTATCCAAATAACTAAGAAAATGAAAGCCAATAAATGGACCTGAAAACTAAAGGCAACAAACACACAAGGAAAGAAAAGGCAAGTTCTCCAAGAAAGGAGGGATCATAAGTAAAGGAGTCAAAGTGACGTCGCAGATGACGTTGTAAAAGAAACAGCCAAAATAAATTAACTTTATGCTTTTTTCTTCTTCTTTTTTAGTGGTAACAAGAAATTTGTCATTTTACTCGCAGTGGGAAAGCAGAAGACTTGCTTTTGGCTGGCGACCCTCTCGTCCGTTGCCTTGTCATTTACCCTTCTTGTGATAATATTTCATATCATATTCCGTGCATCTGTAACTGAAAACAATAAATTGAATTAGAACTTTCAAGGTGGTAAAAGTTATGCTTTTTGGTTCTTATCATGTTTCTATTTTTAATGAACATAATTCCAGTGATTATCTATGTACAGTATTATTATCATATTCTCACGTTTACAAATGATCTATTATTGTGTTTATTGGCTTTTACCAAATAATCTTATCTTATGATTAGTGAAACCCAAACCTTTTCAAGGTTTCATTATACCTTCTTGCAAAGTTAGTTTTAATGTCTATTTTTTTTTTCCAATTCTACAATTCTTTTGTTCTACTACAATATATTTGACGTACCAGTCATTATTTTTAATGAGCAGCTCCAAGTAAACATCACAAATGTTAGTTTTTTACTATTTTTTTCAACTACTTTTTCGTAATTTTTATCAGTTTTTGGTGTTATATGTATGCTTTATTTTGGTGTTTCTAAATTCTGAAATAAGGAGTGCTGCCAAATAATATGAAACAATAAAATAGAAATCAAATTGGTTATTTATATACAGTATTACTGGTTAAACTTGATATCGTAATTTACATATGTTAGCAAACTATAGCTAATTGGATCTCATTTTTTTTTTTTGGGGACCAAATCTCATCTTTTCTTATAAGAAAGAGGAGTAACATGTTTAGCTCTGGTGCTATTTTACTAGCAAAGGGAGATGATAGTTTAAATTTTGTTTTTGTTTTGTTTTAGATTTTATGTCAGGCTTGTGAATTTAATTATTTAATTATATATTTTATATAGAATTACGTAATAATTAGATAAAGACAAAAAACTTAAAATATCTACGAATTAAAAACTCATCTATGATTCTTCACCCAACTCACCTATTTACTAAAACTAAAACAAATTACGTACTAACACGTATTGAAATATATTGTTAGTAGAGTAAATAGTTTTGTTCATATAAATTTCAATTTATTTATAAATACATCTATGATAACGTTTAAAATTTATGGGACACCAGCTCAATCATCATAACTTTCCAACGTTCACCAAAAGTATCTCCATTAGTCTGTTAATTAGTGCGTCCAATTCTCTCATCTGTAACATTTTGTAGCTAGAGAAAATACTGTTAGTAAAACACTGTTCCTAAGTATTTCCTATCTTATAAGTTCAGACATTACGTATTTTATAAGCTTCCCGTTTAAATTTGATGTGAGTCATCAGTTATGTGACTTTAGATCGAGAAGAAGTGCACATGTGAAGGGGTTACAAAAACACATGATACTAATATATTATTGAGAGAATTAGGAATATTTGTCCTTCGCTCCTAGGATCTATCCTCCCTTCAGAATCTAAAAACTGTCAAC